GTTTCCATTGAGCTTTCCTTTAAAAAAAAAAAGCTTGCCCTTTGTGATCAGGTTTTGAAAATTTGTCGTGAATTAGAATGCCGTACTTTGGGTTTACTAGTAAGGCCATATGTTGTTTGGATTGCATTTTTTTTTTTGATTTTTTTGTAGAAAAATTACTGTAACGATTTGATATATGTGAGATAAAAATATGATTGAAAAATGTGTTCACGAAAAATATTATTATAATTTTTCTTTGAAAACTTGCAATCCAAACACAAGAAGGTTTCCTTCAACTTTTTTTTTTTTTTTTTTTTATTTTGCTGTCTCTTTTGGTTTATAAATTAGTTCATGAAGACAACGGATCAGAGGTTTCTGTTGCAAGTTAAAAAAAAAAAAAAAGGGAAACAAAAGGTTGAGATTTCATAAACGGTACACCAATCTTCAACGCGATATGTCTTGTGTACTTCTAAACCATTTGGAATAGGTTTTCGTATTTACACCACTACTAATTTCTGAGCATCATGGGATGGAAGCTCGTGGTAACAAAAATATAAGGATGATTTAAGTTGAGGGAAACCAAGCACAAGAAAATTTGCTTTACTAGAACAATTAAAAAAGAATTTATTTGAAGATTGTCTTTTTCAAATTAAAGAATAATTTTAACTTTGGGATGCTTCCTCTATGTCCTGATGCATCCAAAGCGCAAAAGAAAAAAAAAAGGTCAAAAAAAAATTGAGAATTACAGAAATTTGAAGGATTATACACATTTGTAGCTCAATAATTTTTCATTGATTTCAAGCATTATCATTTGAAAGTCGACCACATATTTTAATAAAAAAACAAAAAAAAAAAGGGCAAAAAAGGGATCGACTTTGTCAGTAGATGGCTTGGAGGATTTCCATTCCCCATCCCGGCTTGGAGTAAACGTCACAATGGGTTTAGGATTGAGGCCATTAATTTTACAAGTCATGGGAATCGAGGGAGTTGGTGGCCTCATGACCGATAGAATTCCGCTTGGCACTTTCGAAAGAAATGGGCCCAAATGGACCGTGGGCTTTCGTACTAGAGATCTTCTAGAACCTCACCAACTCATGCATCATGATCCACTTCCACTTCCACTTCCAACATCGATGATGTGAAAGGGGTTCCGAACTTTGCCCTGCTTAATCATTTGACAATTGTGTGTGTGTGTGTGAAAACAAATGGATTGGATTTCTTTTTTGCTTTTGTACAATACAATACAAATGTTCACATCTTTGTAATTTGAATCTCTTCAGCAAAAATCCCTTTTGCCTTCGACTTTGAGGATCCCATGTTGGCATATTCTATTTTATCGTGTTTCATCCACTCATATTGAGTTGATATTTCTTAAACATTCAAAGCTTGAATATTATCTCCTTATTATTTTGTGATTTTTTTTAAGGATGATGTTTAGAAACATCAATACTGAACTTAGGTCTAAATATATTGAGATAACCAAAATGATTTTGAATTTAAGCCTTCTAAAAAAGTGAACCCTTTATGATTTTTCCTATATAAATCCTCAATTAAGTTTACCTTAGAAATTCATTGTTCATGAAATTTTTTATCTTTTAATGATATCTTCGTCTAAATTTCCTGTTTGGATTGCTATGTTTAAGATTTTTTTATAGAAAAATATATTGTAACGATTTGATGTATGTGAGATAAAAAGGTGATTAAAAAATGTGTTTACGGAAAATGCAAAAGTTTTTTTGACAGAAAATTGCAATCCAAATAGAAAGACATGTGTACCTTTTTTTTTGGAAAAAAAAAAAGATTTAACTCCAGTCATCACCATAAGTCAATAAATGTTGTCGAAACCATAGGTCCCTCATAAAGATTTTTATAAATCGCCTACTAATACAATCCTTATATCAACAGTAGAATTTAAACACACAATTTTTTTAAAGAAAATTGTCTGTTCTCGTCAATTGAGTCAATTTATATTGGCAATATTGATCGTTTACCACTTGTACTATGATAAAGAATCAGACTTAAAACCCTTTAAAACATTAATTTGCATTTCGGCCAACTACTTGAAAATAAAAGTTGGCTCCTCCAATTGAACGTAAGTAAGAGGAGTCATCTGAATTCGATAATCTATTTTTGCTGGCAAGAATGCCGCAATAGACTTTATGTCCTTAGCGTAAGAAAGATTATTGATTAAATTGCCCATAAGAAGAGGTTGTTACTTGTTAGATTCTGCTTCTTTTATGAGTGGTTGAAATAGTACTCTCTCTGTTTTTCCAGCTTTGATCTTGTGAAAATATTCATGTGGTTTTGAAGAGTGTAGGCTAGAAGTCAATAATGTCTCGTCTTTTTCAGCATTATATCTTAAGCAAGAAGTTAATTTACTGGTTATCTTTTTCCAAATTCTAAACGAATATTTCAATTTGCAAAAGTAACCTTTAGTTGAATTCGATGTTTACTCACTCAAAAATAAAAAATAAAAAATCGATGTTTACCGATTAAGTTACTTCCTTGTGTAATCAAATTCAAAGCCCAAATGACTTCCCATCCAAAATATAATTTTGTTAATTAATCTCTGGCATGACTTGTTATAGGAACACACAGTTTAGAGAGTAGATTTTGTTTTAATCATCTTGTACTCATCAATGGATGTAGTACAACAATTTCTTTGCATCGTTGTTAAATTTTTATTGGTTGTCGATAAAATAAACTAAAAATATTTTTTTAGCGTAAACAATTTTTGTCATTTTTTGAATTTCTGATTTTGCCCTTACAAATTCTAATTTTTACTCTCATCATCTAATGACATTTTGTTAGTCATAACTACCCTAATGTAACTACCAAATTACTATAACCTTATAAGCCAAGGATTTTTAATGAAAATTTTATATAACTTTATCTACGTAAAAAAAAAAACAAAATGTATACAAAATTAATTCATTTTAATTACTTGTGAACTGTATACAAATTGCGCGTGCCCTTAATACTAATACAGAAAATTAAAGTTAATTAAGCGTGAAGATTGTATAGATCGATTGCTGCAATTAAGTGGGAGCTCGTCCAAACTTTAAAGTTAGCACTAATTACGTTGTATCACACGTTTTAATGAAATTGTAGTTGAATTTATGGCCCTCCAGAATTCTTTAAAAATGTCCATTTTGGAAGAGAAGAGATGAAAAAACAAAATTGAACTCAAGCTCTAATTCAAGTTGAGACCCGTGTGAGACCGAACTAAGGAGTGCATGCAAGGATGTTGAGATCCATTTTTGCAAGTTGGATCTTTCATTCCATATATGATATACCTAACTAATTGTATCCAAAATGAAGCTTTAGTGCTTTCAATTCATCAACTCGCGCTCATTATTAGTTTACACATTTATTTTTGATGTGACTGAATTCCAGATTGATCAGACCATAAAATGAATCTAACATGATCCACTATCGGAATTCTCATGTTCCAAGGTGGCTTCCTCGTGAGGGGGGGGGGGGGAATATATATATATATATACATAAATATATGTATATATAAACAAGAGAGAGAGAGAGAGAGCAAACACCGCCATAGCATGTGATTTTTTATATGCTCTGTTTCATGACGAGTCTATATTTGAACTAATGAAGATTTCTAATCTTTTGTTTTAAAGGAAAAAAAAAATCTAGTGATATCATAGATACAGTAAAAGTTACATAAATAAATAAAACTCTTTTATTTTGTCTCAAAGATATTTGAACGTGTATAAAACGAACAGGTGGAAATACCTAAATCAAGGATGCATGATTATAGATGTAGAAAAAAAATAGATATTCAGAGGCGTCTATAACTTTCAAAATCATGTGTATGTAACATTTATACTTTTTTTAAAGGAAAAAACACACATCAAGCAATCATGTCCACTCACCTTTTCCAACTCATAAACATATTTTCCAACTCACCTTTTTATATTTTCAACCACTTTTTTATCTCATATACATTACATCACAAAAAGTGCTATAGTAATTATTTCAAATAATACTCTGTCCAAACAAACCGGGCATCATAGAATACTCGTTAAAATATATTTTAGGTGTTATATTTTTAGAAATATAAGATTAATTAGAAAAAATAAATAAATACAAGAAAGGGCATATAAGATTAAATAGAAAAAGTATATAAATGTATGAGAGAATAATAATTATTAATATGTATATAAATATGGTATGTTAGATGAATACTAGGTGTTTTAACGAGTGCCCTAAGTGCACCTGTTAGAAAAACTCATAAAAAATATCATTTTTTTTATTGCTATAAAAAATGCCATCCTTTATCAGTAGTTCAGTGCTATTCTTAATCAATTAAGTACTAATGAAATATAATCTAATTGATAAAATGCTTTACCTATAATCTATATATGTCACACAAATTTGAGTTATTAAGGAAATAAGCTCTTATAAATAGAAAAGGAAAAGGAAAAGGAAAAGGAAAAGGAAAAAGGGGTATCAACCACGTAGAGATACACAGCGCTAGTATAATTTAAGTGGTGTCAGTAGAATTTTTCTTCAGGAAGGAGGACGGATCGATCGGACATGGTCACCTCTTTCCCTCCGTCTCTCTCCCTCAACTTTCCTCGTATCGTTGATTCACTTCGCAGACTAAATACCAATGCATAAAACCACCTCAAACAAAACCATCTCCGTCGGTCCCCCGTTTCTCCTCTCTCTCTCTCTCTGCCTAGCTCTCTCGCCCCAGACCCAGAGGACCCTTGTCTCTTTCGCCTCCTCCTTCTCTCTCTACTTTTTCCGTTTCTCTCTCTATCTCATTATAGTAACATTCCACTTCCACCGCGTACATGTCTTTTCCGTTAGATTCCGGACGCGTACTACCCCTTCTCTATCACTGCTATTATTTTAACAGTACTGCTACTTCTCAGTTCTGATTTACTTTACCCTTTCTCAGTATTAGACCATCTCACCATCCCAACCTCATTATCCTGCACCACCCCCATTCAAATTTTATTGTTCTATATTCCACTACTTAATTTTTTTTTTAAATGAGAGGATTTTCGAAGCACGAACGTCGGTGGGGCTCCGACTCTGTTCCGGTGGATAGAGCCGTCAGCAGCTCCTCCTCCCCCGGGACCGACTCCGCCGCTGCGTCATCAGTAGGTACGGAAGAGTTCGTCGAGGTCACGCTTGATCTCCAAGACGATGACACCATCATTTTACGGAGCGTCGAACCGGCGACTGTCATCAACGTGGACAATGACGTCACTGTACTCACCGGCGGGAGTTTAAGCGGAGTTGAGACGCCAGTTTCAGGCTCGGCCAGCGTTTCTCGGTCCCCGACGATGAAGAGGAGTTCGTCCAACCGCCTTCTGCAGTTTTCCCAAGAGCTGAAGGCGGAGGCCAAGGCGAAGGCGAAGCAATTCTCCCAGGAGCTTAAGGCGGAGCTGCGGCGGTTTTCGTGGAGCCATGGACATGCATCACGTACTCCAGCCTCGTCGACAGGAGCAGGGAACAGTGGCTTGGAATCGGCTTTAGCGGCTCGCGCCATGCGTCGACAGCGAGCTCAGCTCGACCGAACTCGTTCCGGCGCTCAGAAAGCTCTGCGAGGACTCAAATTCATCAGTAACAGCAAAACTAACGGCGTTGATGCCTGGAACGAAGTTCAGAAAAATTTTTACAAGCTTGCTAAAGAGGGTTATCTTTACCGTGCCGATTTCGCACAATGCATAGGTTAACACAAATATATTAGTATATTCATATGATTATTCACTATATATATATATATATATATATATATATATATATATATATATATATATATATATATATATTAATCGGAATATTCGATGCTTTTTTTTTTATTATTTGGATGAAGGGATGAGAGATTCTAAGGAATTTGCGCTGGAATTATTTGATGCATTAAGCCGAAGGAGAAGATTGAAGGTGGAGAAGATCAGCCGAGATGAACTGTTCGAGTACTGGTCCCAGATCACCGATCAGAGTTTTGATTCTCGGCTTCAGATATTCTTTGACATGTATGGTTTACTTAATCCTTAACTAATTGAAGAAAATTACGCTAATCACAGTAAAAAGATGGAGGTGAAAGCTATAGTATATATGTTATTCGTAGGAATTAATCATTGAGGAGTGGTTATTAAGAAACGAAATGACAAATATACAGCCACTTCCAAAAATTAGTACGGTTGCGTGCAGGGTCAATATTGTCCTTTTGTATCCAAATGATTAATGCGTAGCTTGGGTTACAGGGTGGACAAGAACGAAGATGGTCGAATTACTGAAGAGGAAGTTAAAGAGGTACTAATTTTTCTAACCTTATTCCTCCCACGTGACCAAGGTAAAAGAATTTTAAGTGCTCTTGATTTTCTGATTAGTACTCCCAAATAGGCTTTCTGATCTTGTAAACCATAATCTTTTTTATTTAACCCTTGATTTAACTAATTATTATTGACCAGTTGTGAGGTGCAAGGTCAAAAAACATTTGATTTAGGCTTAAACTAATCATTACATATAGTAGATCACAGTCTGTCAGATTCCGGTGACCCCAAAAAAAAAAAAGAGAAAAAAAGAAAGAGTGTAGCTGACCTTTTCAATTAGCAGACGACTTATAACTTTTGCAATACTGTAAAAATAATAACAAAAAATAAAAGTACTGTGTGCTACTCATAATTTTAATTTTATATAAGTAGATACATACATGCATGCATATGCATGAGATTAAAACTACGGCAGAGTTGTTATGGCTAAGCTAAGGAGGGCGGTGGTTTATAATTTTTATGTTTTTTGGGTTAGGCGTGATTTGGTGAGTATAAATTGGAAAAAAAAATCCCAAGCCAACGAATCCATGGTATATGTGGTTTTAGACAGTGATTAGATGAGGTTTTTTTTTTTTTTTTTCTCTTGATTTCTGACGTTTCCCACTTTTTTTTATCTATCTTTGGGGATAACGGACTTGAATATTCGAATTACCAGAATTCGTAAAGCTTGACATGCTCCTGTGTCACTTGCCGATATTCTCCAGTTTGCACCACACACAGTTTCAAAATTAGCTTTAAGTCATTTTCACTGGGGTTGGTGAGGGTACTCTTTTCTACTCCACGTGGAAGATAATTTTTTTCCCTCTCTCTCTCTCTCTTTTTTTTTTTTTTTTTTGGGTGGTGGTTTAATTTAAAATAATTAATGCAGATTATCATGCTAAGTGCTTCTGCAAATAAGTTATCAAGATTGAAGGAGCAAGCAGAGGAATATGCAGCTTTGATCATGGAAGAGTTAGATCCTGAAAGGCTTGGCTACATTGAGGTAAAATGATTAATTAGTTGCTTGCGCGACAATTAATCATCCTTCCATTCCCTATCTACTGAATCGATCACATTATTGAATTTAGTTATTCAAAACAAGTAATCTGAGTTCAGACGCCCGTCAAAGCACGTCTTGGACTCGTTCTAAGAAAATGGTTGTAACTAAATTAATAATTATATATCAGACTTTTTTGTTTTCAGAGAGTCAGTAGTTGGATGACAAATGCTTGACTAAAGTTTGTGGTGGGTTACTTCTCCTTGTTCAACCGTACACGAAGAAGAAACGAACTGCTCTATTAGTTATTAGTTGTGTATTACTTTTAATTTGCTTTCTGTTTCGGCTCACTGCTTAATTGGTCATAAGTTGTTTAACAATTTCGGTACTTCAGTCGTTCTTTTTTTTTGGTCTCCTCAAATTATTATGGATTATATTAGATTGGCTTTGGAATATTCCGGAGAGCAATAATACCAACATGAGCCTATATGAAACCAGATAATGCTTTTCTCCATGATGATTTTTTTTTCTCTTTTTAACAACGTTGTTGGTACCTAATTTAGGACAGATTAGCTGGACAGATATCGAAATGATAAAGAGTTATTTGTTCTACTTGCTGTACGCTAACCTGAAAATAACAGTAAATGCTACTTTATGAAATTGTAGAAATAATTATTATTTTCCCACACATGAGAGGGAGTCTCAGTTTGGCCACAAACGGAAAAAGAGAGAGAGAGAGAGAGAGAACCAGAGAAATATGGACAAAATATTTGTTAGAAAATTGCAAGTACGGATGTTTGATTGATTGGGCGTGTTCCAGCTCCATTAGTGTGATTCTGTCATTAGTTTACTTTATTATTATTTTTTTTATGAAAAAACGGGTTGACTTCATTAGTAACAGTGCTGTAAATTTCATGTGATAGTCTTTTAATTTTTTTTTACCCCTTCTCAAACATGATCCATATCAAGTTGATTAGAATGAAATTTTAATCAAACAAAGAGTATGGCTATGTTTTCTTATCGTAACTTTTCTAATTTCAGGCTTATCCATATATTTTCCTTCATATGTTTTCGTTCTATATTCTATAAAGAACTCTAGTCTAGTGTAATATAACCCCCCCTTCCCCAACCCACCCCCCTCAAAAAAAAAAAAAGGTATAGGTTCATTTAATCAAAAAAAAATTTGAGCAGTTAAATCTTACTTGCATACAATCCCATTTTTAAAGTGTACATTAGATCTAAAAATATTTTTTTCCTTACACAGTAAAAGTATTTGATAACTGTTACTATACGTTTGCATACACGAAATTACTAGGTGGTGCAAAATGACAGTAGTGCTTTAGATGTACTTTTGATTCCACTTCTACAGAAAACTATCGATGCTACCCTCCCCTGCGACCGCTTTTGCGGTCCAGGCACCACTTATCCACCCATCCATTGTTGGGTTCCCCTATTTGACTTGAAACGCGCGTTTTAAGCACAAACACGTGCTCAACAAGCTGTGGCCCTGGATTACAAACACTAATGTATTGTATTGTAATGTAATGAGTAGGTGAAATGTTGAATTGTCCTTGGTGGCGTGGGTAGCATGATTTGATGATTCATCTGATTTTCTGATCCCATATATATTTCTTTCATGTTGGTTTTTCATGATGATGCAGTTGTGGCAGCTGGAAACACTACTGCTTCAAAAGGACACGTATTTAAGCTACAGCCAAGCCCTGAGCTACACGAGCCAAGCTTTGAGCCAAAACCTACAAGGGCTGAGGAAAAAAGGCCCCATCAGAACTATGAGCACAAAATTGGTTTATTACGTGCAAGAAAATTGGAGGAGAATTTGGGTTCTGACGTTGTGGTTCGTGATTATGGTTGGACTCTTCACTTGGAAGTTTTATCAGTACAAGCAGAAGGATGCATTTAAGGTCATGGGCTACTGTCTCCTCACGGCTAAAGGTGCGGCTGAGACGCTTAAATTCAACATGGCTCTTGTTCTATTGCCTGTGTGCAGGAACACCATTACGTGGCTGAGGTCCACCAGGTTGGGGTATCTTGTGCCCTTTGACGACAACATCAACTTCCACAAGGTAAGTTAAAAAAGAGTTGAGACTGACTCAGCTTCACTTTTTCAGTTTTCACAAGGAAAATTTCCTCCTCATTGCTTGTCTTATTTTAGGCGTTAATCTTTGGGCCCACCTGAGATACATTATGAATAAGTCAGCGTGATCCGTTGATGTCAACCATGAATCGCAATAGATATACCTTCTGTCTGCCTTCGCTTTGATTTCACAAGAAGCAAAATTTGACCACTTCCAAAAAAAAGGGACTCGAATTAACTTAACAAATGATCATAAAAACAAGCTTTGGCAGACATCAATACGTTAATCAAAACTGTATTATGTAGCAAAGTTGTGCATTGTAAAAAGGCTTAAATAGTCAACTGGATGGTATATATTTATTATGTGTACATAACATTATTGGGTAGTGGGTACCATAAAAAAGTTCCCTAAATGTTGGCCACGGAAAAGCGAGGTACGTGCTACAATCGACTTAAAGGATAGATGGCTTTGTGTGACATATTGGATGAGATAAGTTCATTCTAGAGTCATTTTAGCCATAGATTGTTGTACTGCATAATGCACTTCAATTGTAGTCCAGCGTGGAGAAAGACTGTTAATATCGCAAAAAAATTATTTGCGGCTTGATTATTAAAAGTTTTTCCTTATTGTGAGAAGAGAAGACAATATAAAATAAGAATTTATGCAATTTAGGGATGACTAAATCCACACCCCTGCAGTCTAAATCCATACCCCTGATGCATTAATAACTTGTATCACGAGCATTGATAACTTGTCAAATTAGTATTAAAAGTTATACCAGGTGAAAACTAGAGGTTTCACTTGTAGATGATTGGGGGTAAGACAGCATCAAGAATCCATGGGTTCTCATGCCTCATCACTAGATATCCACGTGCCATCAATGATTATTGTGATTCTCAAAAATACTTCTGGGAGTGATATATGTTAAAACATCCAATTATGTTATGTAGCCTTTAAATTTGAGCATGATGTTCAAAAGTTTGACTCATAAGAGCAACCTACTAGGTTCATGGCACTTCTATGCGATCCTTGGCGCAACTGATTCTTACAAATCTTTAGACAAGATTTACTGCACCAGTCAACGAAAATGAATTTTTTGTTCTGTTGTATGATAGGATATTCTAAAACCTGCACTGCTTATCATGGTTGGTTATGTAAAATCCTGACTTTTCTTGTTCTCTTTGAAGACCATTGCAGCAGCCATTGTTATTGGTGTCATACTCCATGCTGGAAACCACCTTGCATGTGATTTTCCCAGGCTTATAAATGAAACTGATGAAACTTATGCTCATTATTTCTTCAATGTCTTCGGGCAACATAAGCCCCAATATTTGGACCTGGTACGAGGAGTTGAAGGTGTGACTGGAATTCTGATGGTTATCTTCATGGCAATTGCTTTCACTCTTGCAACGCGGTGGTTTAGGCGGAGCCTTGTTAAGTTGCCCAAGCCCTTTGACAGGCTTACTGGCTTCAATGCCTTCTGGTATTCACATCACCTGTTTGTGGTTGTTTACATCTTGCTCATCATTCATGGCTTTTTCCTTTACCTTGTGCACAAATGGTACCTTAAAACGGTATAGTTGCCAACTCCTGATTTCCTTTTGCTATAAATCAAATTACAGGTAATTCCATTTTAGTTAGCTTAACGGACATCCTCATTTGCTTGCAGACATGGATGTTTCTAGCTGTTCCTGTACTTCTATATGCAGGGGAAAGGACCCTTAGATCCTTCCGCTCAGGATTCTATCCTGTCCGACTTCTAAAGGTCAATTAATAGCCAACTCTCAAGTATCATACTAGCCTTGTTCATGCAATTATGAGAGTACCAATTCTAAAGGCTTCTTTTTCTACTTTTAATAAACTGAAGCTAGGCATCATGTGCATGATTTAACTGTCAAATTAGTGGCTGGTTTCATTTCACATTGACGAAGAATAAGAAAATTGGAGAAGCAAATAAAGGAACTCAATTTTATGGCCACAACTGAAAGTTTTGCAAACTTAGGAAAAACTCTCCTGATTCTTGTTGCTGTTCTTTCATAGAAGCCTACTCTTATTCATTTTGAGGGTAGTGAAAACTATCAACTTTCTACCCTTTCAGGTTGCAATTTACCCTGGAAATGTCCTCACACTGCAAATGTCCAAGCCTCCTCAATTTCGATATAAGAGTGGACAGTACATGTTTGTCCAATGCCCAACTGTTTCTCCATTTGAATGGTAAGCAAAAAATTTTGCCTGCACAATATGATGCATTTTATGGCCTCTTTAGCCTGGTTTATTTCATGGTCTATTTCCTCTTTACCAATGTCCAACAATGTAATTTTCCTAGCTTCTCAATTCACCTTTTAATGTTTCGATATACAGGCATCCATTTTCCATTACTTCAGCTCCTGGAGATGACTACCTCAGCATTCATATCCGGCAGCTTGGTGATTGGACACAAGAACTTAAAAGGGTATTCTCAGAGGCTTGTGAACCTCCCATGGCTGGGAAAAGTGGGCTGCTTAGAGCAGATGAGACAACCAAGAGAAGGTATATGTCCTTAATTAATACAGTAGTTGGAGCTACTTGTAGATGTCTTCAAATTAACAAATGCTGCTTTTATAAATAAATTTGACAAGATCTCTTTACTAAATGCTACTTGTAAGTAATTCGTATTCTTTATGTGCAAGTTTGTCAGATAGAATTGACTAACCTCTTTTACCTGCCAACTTTGTCATAATTTTGGTTTCCTTATATCAAAACAGCACTGTAACTGCCTTTTTGAATATATTCCTGTGCATCTTAGTTTGCCAAAGCTATTAATTGATGGACCATATGGGGCTCCAGCACAAGACTATCGGAAGTACGATGTGCTGTTACTTGTTGGTCTTGGGATAGGAGCAACACCATTCATCAGTATCCTAAAAGATTTACTCAACAACATTGTCAAGATGGAGGAGCAGGCCGTAAGTTCCTATGTTCTTACTAAGATGAACTATCTGCAGTACTTCCATCATCCAGCAAATACTGAGACATGCTACCATGTTTTAACAAATTCTTACATGATATTAATTATTCTGCACAATGTTCTTACTCATACACGAGCTTGAGTTCAGTTTCCTAACTTTCAGGATTCAGTTACAGACTTCAGTAGGCATTCAGATCAGAGTAATGGATCCACAACATCTCCCTCTCTTGACAAGGTTTCTGGAAAACGCAAGAAGACATTAAGGACAACTAACGCTTACTTCTACTGGGTGACGAGGGAACAAGTATCATTCGATTGGTTTAAAGGTGTGATGAATGAAGTTGCTGAACTTGATCAAAGGGTAATGCGATGTTTATGGTCTTCTGTATCAATAGAAGACATTCTAGATCATATGCACTTATGTTTCTGCTTCTGAATTCTAGGGCGTTATTGAGATGCATAACTACTTAACCAGTGTATATGAAGAAGGCGATGCACGTTCAGCTCTCATAACCATGGTTCAGGCACTTAATCATGCTAAAAACGGTGTTGATGTCGTATCTGGCACTAGGGTAAGGTGTTTCAAGTATTAGTACTTTTATCATACTCCAAATGCCTGTAGAAAGGCCAGTATATCTATAATTTTGGAATTGAACCAGCTGAATTGAAGTGATGGTCAATTTCTCATTTTGGTTGATGGTCCCAAAGAGATATGGTGATGGAAAATTCGAGGTTTGTGCTTTATCTAAGAAAAAGACTAATTCTAATTATCTATTCACAGGTGCGAACACATTTTGCAAGGCCTAACTGGAAGAAAGTACTCTCTAAAATTTGCACCAAGCATGCTAATGCTAGGATAGGTAAGTGCATTTTTCTGAACCTAAACATCAGAATTTTATTCTTGTTAGGCAGTGTATCGCAATCATAATTAATTATCTGGACAGGAGTTTTCTATTGCGGGGCTCCAGTCTTGGCCAAAGAGCTAGGTAAGCTTTGCCAGGAGTACAACCAGAAGGGTTCAACCAAATTCGAGTTCCATAAAGAGCATTTTTAGACTGCCGTAAGATAAAATTATGCCATAGAAGAAGTACTTTGATCTTAGCTGAAACACCAAGAAAGATGTGTCAACAGATAGTTAGTTGACTAAACATCATTACCACATTGATGCTCGATTGGAGCACCATAGAAGGGTGAAATAACAGAAAAGGAAAGGCATAAAGAAGGCAGGAAATGTTGTACAGTTCTGCGTTAGGGCAGCAAAAAAATTCATTGAAAAAAAGAGAAAAGTAGAGATATACAAGTACATTGGCAACAATGGTTTAGCCGCGTTTGTTTAAAGTAGATCCTCACGACCAGAAATGATTCTGGTTGGCTGTGAGATCGATTGAATTTGAATCAGGCGGTAGAGGTTGTGTTTCATGCAAGTGGCAGAATCAAAAGGAAAATCGCAGGATGGTGGCCTTCACATCCAATGGAGATCACTGAGACTTGAGAATGCATTACAGCTAAAAGATGTTGACCTTTGTGATAATTGAGCATGAAAGGGAGACGTGACCTTTATGATAATTGAGCACGAAAGAGAGACATTCGTGTTTGGTTTTGATGTTAAAAAAAAAAAAAAAAAAAAAAGCCACTATAATTTTTAGGTGAAGATGAGGCAGGTCTTCTGGATTTGTAGAGTTTGGGGTGGACGGCTTGCCGATTGAACTATTGCATTTTTTGGAGGTGGGCTCAGGGAATCCTAGAAGATCATGCTGATGTAGGTGTCTGCTGCAATTTTTCTCATTATCTTGTTTGTCAGAATGCTAAGCTTGATGACACACTTTTTACCGGTACTGCATGTTTGCTGAAATCAAGGATAGGTAGGATAATTAACAATATGTAAATGAGACTCAATAGTATCAGTCTTTCACACTCCTCAGAGGATTAGAGATACAAGTGTATGTAATGTAAGAATAAAAACTGAATTCAATTTATACCAAGGAATGTTTGGGCATTCCACATACTTGAAAAGCTCTTTTATGGATACCCTTTTCGCTTTTGTACAGCTCTGGTTTACTGCTGCTGGCGGAATGATGGCTGTTCTGGGCAATTTTGAACAGTGTATTTCAAGCCATCACATTACACCATCTTTAACTCATCTAGTTATCGCTTACAAAACTCTTGTTTAGTTGATTTTTGCCTGTTGAGTTCATCACATGTTGGGCTTTCCGTCCGAAGTCAAATGCAAATCCATCACGAAACATTAAGGTCGCTTTTCTGTTATAGTATTTAAAAAACACCTTATTCCTAGCATTATTACCCTGGAACAATCCAATTAATGGCCACCTCATTTGATTATTTGACCCTAGGACTTTCTGAAACATTAGCATGTGCAATTAATCATTCCTGTCTGGCATTTTATTTACTAGTTAGTGCAAAACAAAATTGTTATAGAAAAAGAAGAGGAGCCAGAGTCAGCAATCTGTACCGACAAATTGCAAATTAGCTAAAGACTAAAGCTCAAATTTTGCCGGGATCACGCTAGTCTTTTATTTTCTTTATTAGAAATTTAGGATCATAATTACTTAGCTTTAGCTGCTTAGAATTTTACCTTAGACAATTTAAAACAATATCTTTTTTCTTTGCAATAATTTATGAACTTTCATCTTACCATAGTCATGCATTTAGGTGTTTTTCGTTCCTACACTTTAGTGTCACTAACTTTCCATCCTACTTTGTAGTAGTATTTATGAATAACTTTGCAATAATACACTATTTTTTTTATGCGACACACACGTTAATTCAATTAATAAAGTGAGATCATCTCTTCAATAAAAGTCATACATTCAAATCTAGTTGCCAATGCTAGGATGTGAAGATGGATAGTTTTTTTTTGGTTGCCTGCCACGGTATCCAGGGCTTTACCCTGACTAATCCGTTGGTCGACCCGGGTCGCACACCTTGCTGTGGTGGGTGAGTCTCCCAACAAGGATAGCTGCATACGCCAGGTTTCGAACCCGAGACCTGCTTAAGCGGAACCAAGCTGCTTACCACTTGGCCCAACCCCAGTTGGTGAAGATGGATGGTTTGTAAGACGTTCTAAACAACTTATTATTTTTTGATTTGACAAGAAGAGATTCTTTTAATGACATCTAGATAACCTTCCGCCCACTCAAAATAAAATATATTCTTGTTCTTTGTAAATCCAGGCTCAATTCTGAAAACACTGGGTAGGCCCAATCTTCAAATTGAGCCCGTGGGTTCTCTGTGTTCAAATAGATCAGTGGGCTTCGTACAAATTTTTGATTCGGCAGCACTGTATCCCTTAGGACCAAACGAAGAGAGGAAAGTGATCCATTATCCATAAAAGGAAAAAGAGTAATCTTTTTCATTTCAGGAAAAAAATATATATATATGCATCACATTCTTTTTTTCTGTTTTGAATTTAATGCTTGTTTTTACTTTTTTCTTTTTTGGGGTCAATCAGAAATTCAGAATTAGCAAGGCATTCTCAACTCAATATGGAGTAAAGGTGCTGGTAAAATTCTCTTCTTTTAGAATTTGGACTACTGCCGAGTATGAGAAAATTTAAACAGTAGGTATGCAAGCATATTTTATGCTTTACACAATTAAAGCTTGGTGTCCGCTTCAAAAAGCATAAAATATAAGTATTTATTTGAATCATCAATCTTTATTTGAGTTCATATTTGCATATATAACTTATTATCCAATTACGTACTAATAATTTTGTACCTACCCAAGCTCTGGAGGCATGGCTCTTATCAGAAGGAGTTTGATGGAGTACCGTATATTTTATCCTGTCTTGGACTTTCAGGTTCTATTCTACCATTTGGTTGGGATTGCGGTTGTTTCACACCTATTGAGTCCTAGGCCGATGCATACTTTTGATGGATTAAAGTTTTTTTTTTTTTTTACTGCAACGATAACAATTCTATAAGTTAATCTGTTATGCTCTACATGGATGGGATGCTAAATAGGCTATATAAAGGGTTAGCAGGTATATAAACCTGACTAGATCCTACGGGGTGGAGTTTGAATCCTGATCTCATGATGGACTAAGTTAGTCTTAGTAGTTTTTTCCTTTGTCGGACTCACACTATTAGCACTACAATACTCCCATAAGGAACCCCATATACTGTAACGAGTCCGAAAGAGCTGCTGGAAATGAGTGTAAAATCGCGCGTTTTAGACTTTTACGTCATCTCGTGGTACACGTCCGCCCAAGCGGGCACAAGAAAGTCATAGCTTCTCGAAGGTAAAAAGGACCAAATCAAAGCTTAAGCTGAATAATACAATCAATGATCTTATCTTAGTTCCTACAAGTAGAAGACGAAAATGTCTTGGAGAGCTCTAATTGTCAAATTTGAAGCAAAAGTCTCGATCACACAACGCGATATGTTGCAAATTTTCGTTGCTGCTGCATTTTCCAGGAAGGCGTTCCTCTCTACAAATAGGAAAAAAGTGCCATACATAAATAGTACTACAATGGTACCTATGTGAGTTTCTTCCATTCCATTAAAGACAAATTGAGATAGTTTGAAGCGACCAAAAAAAAAAAAAAATCCTGTGAGAAACATGGCTGAAAAATACCAGCAGCAGCAGCAGGTGTACCCACTGGCACCATCTACTATTGTGCCCAGGAGTGATGCTCAAGAATCAGGTACCTATGAATCCATGGAGCTCAGGAAGAAGAAAAGAATGAAAAGGTTAGCATATATCGCTGCGTTTGCTGTATTTCAGACAATAATCATCCTTGTTTTTGCCCTGGTGGTGATGCGCGTAAAATCACCAAAGGTAAGATTGGAGGACATCAATGTCATCACCAAAGGGAATGACAACATCAGGCTCAATGCACAAGTCAGGATAAAGAATACTAATTTTGGGCGTTACAAATTTGATAGCAGCATAGCTACTTTGACCTCAGGAGGTGTATCGGTGGGAGAATTTGTGATCCCTGATGGGCGGGCCAGATTGAAATCCACCAAGACATACTATGTTATTGTGGATGTTACTAGCCCTTCAAGCTCTGGCAGAGGTGGCTCTAATTCTGGACTGCTGCAACTGAACGCTAAGGCTGAGTTGACTGGAAAAGTCGAATTCCTGATGGTGTTGAAGAAGAAAAAATCTGCAGAAATGGATTGTACCATGTCGGTTAATTTGTCAACAAATTTTGTCCAGGACCTCACATGCCAGTGAGGGCTTTGCTCAAGAGCATTCTTTTTGTAAAAAGATTGTTTAGCTCGTCTGCTGCCTGTGAAAATGCTTCCTCATCCTTGTTTTTCTCACTCTGTGTTTTTACTATGAAATTCACGTTTCAGGTTAGTTTTTGTCAGTCACTTGAACTCTTCTTGGTCTTGAACTACTATTATTTACTTCCACCTTCACATCTTGTGAACTTTTGATATTGAAACAGCTGCAAAAACTTTTGTGACACCATTGAGAATGAGATTCTCTGCGGTGATTCATACATGTATACATGTGTATATATATATATATATAAAGCAGTTTGGTGATCATCAGGACATTTCCTTTGCTGTTTAGAGCAGTAAGTTTCAAAGTTACTGCTGTGTCATTGTGACTTGTGAATGGTTGGAGTATAATTTGACATTATAATGATACGTGTGGATTTGGGGGGGGGGGGGGGCGCTATAAAATCAGGCATTATTAAATTATGCTTTTTCTACTATTTGATATCATAAGAGCACAGGATACTGCACTAGGTAAAGAAGGTGAATCCACAATAAAAACTTTAAAATTACCACTCAGCCTTAATTATAACAAGGAAGCAATTTATTCATTCATGACAAAATTAACACCAGACCAACTTCTTGTTATGTGCCTTTGTGGCACCAAATAAATGTTTATCAACTACAACGTTCGCTTGGATGGTGTGTTTTTTAGGTGTTTATTTAAACTTTTACAGTTGATTACTTTAATTGTTTTAGAAAAATGTTTGCATTTGTCCAAAACACTCTAACTTTCCGGAAAAAAAAAAAAAATCTCTTTCCCCTTCCCTCACCACTTGCAACCCACCACTGGCAATCTCCGTGTATCCTATTCAATGATATTTTTGGTTTTTTTTTTTAAAAAAAATTGTGAATGTTTTAGAGTGTTACAATAGTTTTTTAAGAATGCCTCAATAAAATTTCAAAATTTACAAATATCTTAAAAAATACATCTACAATAAAAAAAATTTCACATGCAAATGCTACAATGTAGATTTTAAAAAAATATCCCTAAAAACACCTAATCCACACATCAACAGGCCGGCGACACTCTCATGGTACTTCTTTTTGATCGGCTTTGGCAAATTAAACTATTGGGCCTGCATTGTTGGATGGTGAACCGGGTTTGTTCTGGGCTGTAGTCTGTTAAGTCTCTCTGGTCTAGGTGGCACGACAAGTTTTCATAAGAATTAACAAAAGTCTACTTCGTGAGTCCGATTTAATTTTAGCCCCCAAGCCCAAACTGTACCTCACAATTTGTATAGAGAACAAAAAAGAAATAAAAAATATTATTCCGACATGAAAAAGAGAAAAAGAGATGAGACAAAAAGGGCATGCAAAAGGCAAAAGCATGCAGCAATAACGGTTAAAGGAAGCTCTCTGTTTTTTGAAGTTTAAAAAATCAGTTGAATTCGAAATGATAATTTATGTGCCGTTTTGCAGCAGCACAGCACAGGGGAAGGGAAGGTTGCGATACGAGGCACCAACAGATTCAAGAAGGTTTTAACTTTTTCTTTTGGCTCTTTGGAGTTTGGGAGTCGATTAAATTCTTCAAAGTTCAAACTTTTCCCAAAGTACTGAGGTAATTCTAAAACTTTTAAGTCCGATAGCAAATGGATTCACCAGCCTTCGCAATCTCGGCACATTTTTTTTTTCTTGTCATTTCATTTCTGAATGGAAGTTGAAATGCGTTTTGTGGTTTCAACTCACGTATTGAATCGAACTGAAGCCAACTTATAAGCAACTCATTATGAAGATTACAAAAACCAATCAATATTAATTAACTCAGGATTTAACCTATTAAAAGATATTGCAGAGAAAGCAGGCAGTTTTGAATATGTGAATTGATCAACTGAGAACACCTTTAGGGTCCGTTTGTTTCGGGTGAAAATGTTTTCCAGGAAAATATTTTCCTAATTTCCCATGTTTGGTTGCACAAAAGTTACTGAAAACATTTTCCTATGTAAAATATTTTCACTCATCTTATGGAAAACAACTTCCCTTCCAAACTTACTGAAGTTGTTTTCCGAAATGCATGCATCACGCCTATTATATGTTCCAAACTTACTGAAAACATCTTGTAGTATGTTCCTTTTTTTTTTTTAGTATAAACAGGAGGACTCGAACCCAAGACCTCTTCCTTACACTCCCTCCCCCGTACCACCCAACCCAACCCTCCCCCTAGTATATTCAAAATAAAAAAAAAATCTCATCCTGCTCATCCTATGCTAGTAATTAATTATATATAATAGGGACATTCTTTTCTAGAGAAACTTTCAGCAGTGAGAGTGCAAGATATATGTCACAATAAGCATTGCATGTGATTGATATTTGACACTAAATGGCCAGCAATTTGTTTATTGCTTAAGGAGATATTTTTTATTCATATATACATTTCTCCAAGATTTTTTAAAGTTAAACAATGAGATAAATTTTCTTATTTTGCATGGGAAGAAGTATGTAGTTATAATGTGTAGAAAGTAAAGATAGAGATAAAAGTGAAAATATTTCCAAAGTTAAACAAACACCAGAAAAATGAAGTAAGAAAATATTTTCAATAAGCTAACCAAACACCTGAAAATGATGAAAGGGAAATGATTTTCATGGAAAATTACTTCCACGAAAAATATTTTCCCAAGGAAAACATTTTACTTCCAACCAAACAGACCCTTAAAGGTGTTAAAATGAGAAAAAAAAACACTAATAATTAAAATAATTACTTTCAGTTTGACTTGCTAACTTTTAAGGGGTTGAAGATCATCTTTATTTTTCTTTTAAGGGCTTGGATTGCACTTAATCTTGTAACATTCCAATCCGAGTAAGAATACTAATGATTCTAAATTGACTAAGATTTTTCAATTTTTTTTTGGATACAAAATAGGAGAAACTAATATGACCCCCGAGGGGGGGGGGGGGGAATGCAGGAACGGTACTGGTGGTGGACCTTTTCTTTAAAAAACACTCTGCTGATGTCTGCGGTAAAAGCGAACGTGAGTTTGATTACTTTGTTCAATCATTATTTGAAGAAATCAATCAACTCGGCCAATTCAACTTGTAAAATGCTGCCTCGCATATTAATATTATACTCCTATAACAAGATTTTAGACCTGCTATGTATGTATAAATATGTCCATCCAGCTTCCCAGGCTGCAGAGCCGACAGAAGCACAAATTCCATCAAAAGATTCCGCTGTTGATCTAGCTAGCCGCATTCAGCCTTCGGCATCCCTCCAAAACTCCTCTCCTCTCTCAAATCTTCAAGCTATCTCCACAAGATGTCGGAGGAAAGCCATGTAATTCCACTAGCACCACCACAAATTTACCGAAGAAGTGATGAGGAATGGGGGGCTACCACAAAACCAAAAGTCATTCATCACAAGCACGGAAGAAGCAGCAAATGTTTCGTCTACCTCTTACTGTTTCTCGTCCTACTAAGCATAGCTTCTTTAGCCTTCGGATTAGTAGTTCTGCGAATCAACGCCCCTAAGCTTAAGCTGGAGCTGGTGGAGATAAAGAATCTCAAGTACACTGCTCCAGATTTTGCTTCACTGAACATGACTATGGTTGCACAAGTGAAGATTTATAATCAGAACTTCGGTGGATTCACGTTCCACGACGGCAGCACAAGCGTGGTGTATGGGAACACCACTCTCGGGATGACGTATTGTAAAAGCGGGCTTGTTAGGGGCAGAAACTCCGAGAGAATGAATGTTAGTGTACAGGTAAAAGCCAATAATGGCTTAGCTGAGAACAAGAATTTTAGCAGTGATATGGGCTCGGGGTTGGTGAAATTGAGCAGCTATGCTAATCTTAGGGGTGAAATTCGTGTGTTGAAGCATTTTACTAGGCGTAGAACTTCATTCATGAACTGTACCATGAGTCTTAACTTGACGAGCCAAGCAGTCCAGGATCTGATATGCATGTAATCTTCACGGGACGGTTCTCCTTTTTCTTTCTTTTTTTTTTTCATGAACTTTTTTCCCTTTTTTCTTGTACATGCTCTATAACGACTGAGTAGAATATCCAAATAGAGATTCAATCTGTACAATTTTTTAGTATAATGGTGGTGAAAGCTGTTTTGGATTTGACGAGTAATGCAACATTAATTGCTCTATAATGACACAAAAGTTTATCCTGTTCTTTTTGAGTGCATTCTTGATGTACCTGGTCCCATGATAATGGGGTTATCTTGTTCTTCTAAGTCGTTTCTCTTTGTTTTCTGCCCTCTTTAGCTTCCAAGTTGTTCTCTTTACTTTGAAAGTCGGTCAAAATCCAATTACGGCACTAGGCGTCCTGAAAATTCAACTCAAGGACAATTAGACTAAATCAAGACACGAATTCGATAGATTCTTTAACTAAAAATGACCATGTTTGAAGCCTGATTGCTAGCTTTATCGCTCAGAAAAAAAAACTTGCCGTAAAGTGTCAATATGGTCTTTGGGATATACAAACCATAAAACTCGATCGGGACTTGTTAAAAGCTAGCTGCTCCTAAATTTTGGGAAAGGTAAGTAACAATTCTTTGTTACAAGAATCTTGCGTCGAGAAATTATGGAAGTACTCGAGTCCGCTAAACTTAGATTTGGTTTGCATAGGCAAAACTTTCTAGGTATTGGCGAGATGTAATAAGCATTCTTGCCAGAACTGTAACTGAATATGTCTATACACAAGTAAAATGACGACACATACTTGAACATCCTCAGAATAAAACGGAATTTCTAGGCCAACGGCAAAGTATAAATTATGGTACCTGGATTGGCGGCTGAGCCCGGATGTCACTATCTAATTTTGGCAAATGCATACTGGGCACGGCACAGATTAGTTGCAGGAGATAGTCTGATATGGTTCAGCCGACAGCACCCGTAAGAGCATTTCAGTTTTGCACAGAGTGCCGTTGGAACCAGATAGTATGAAATATCTGCACATTTTCCAGGTCAATATTATGATTTTTAGCCTGCCAAAAGTGGGGGGGGGCCTGAATAGGCTACATTTAACCATTGTCTATTGGTGAGCCCACAAACGCTTAAATTTGCAACGGCTGCCAGACAATCCATCCACATGGATGATGGAACCAGTCGCAGGCATGATGCATCATCTGGAGCTCCCCTTTCCAGCCGCCACTGCTACAAGTTTTTATGTCTAATTACTGAACCAAAGTCCCAGTTTAAAAGAAAATGCCCTGAATATTTGCGAAGAAAGGGATCGTTCTATATCGTAGGACAAAAAGTTTAGACTTGGTTGACCTGATGATGAAAGATTAATGCACATTGGAAACTCGGACTTGGGAGGGAAAATGGACGTTGGAAGCCACTTGGGCATGAATTAAGTGTAGGGAGGAAAAATTTTAAGCTTGGTGAAGAAAGAGATAATGAAAGAGAATCTGGAGCTGTCACGGGACAATGTGTTAATTCAAGAAACGTCAGTACTCAGATTAGATTTAATGACGGGGACCCATATTATCCAAACCAATTCATTTTTTATTTTTATTTTTTTTTGTCAAATGTCAACTTCTATATATATTATCCAAGCCAATTCATGGGTGTGGAGATTTTGTTGTCTGGGCTCTCATTCGACCATGGGCTTCTGCAGTACAATTAGTTAGGGAGCTCGGGCAACCAAGATATCTTGTCGAGCAATCAGAACTCTATTGTTTTTCCACAGTTGCTTGCCTGATTGTCTTCGTAAGCCCAAGCTCTGGATGTTGTCATTTCATTTGAGAGAAGCCGGTCAAACGTGGAAACCCCCCTCATGCACGAAAAGAGCCCATTTCGTTTCAACTCTGAGAAGAAGATTTCCTATTTACGATCTCTTTCATTTTATCATCCAATTCAATTCTTATTAATCTTAGCTGCACTCTCCTGGGAAAAATCTTTCTTCAGGTGTTAAAAAAAATTTAGGCTTCTGGCTAAAAACAACTAATAAGCAATGGATGAGTGGTCAAGATCTTTATTAATTGATTTAGTTAGTATTGACCAACCGATATAGATTTAGTTTCATTAACATTAGGACAACTGGTATCGTCCTATGCAAATCAGTTAACGAAAATAGGCCAAGGACGAGGATCGGACGAGTAGCAGGCGGCGGGGGGCGGGGGGAACCGCTTCAGCAGCTTATCATGACGTTTTTATGCGTCTTCATGGAGTGATATAAAGAATTTGTGCTTCTCCTTAGTCAACATTAATACAACAAAGTTGCTTTCCTCGTTTGGTATACTTCTTTTTTGCCTGGTATAATTCCGCTTCCTTGTTGCACAATGGTAGAATGCCAAAACATGTACGAGATTCTGTTACTTGTTGATTCATACGTTGTTGTGCAATTCCTTCCTGCTCTTGAAGGAGTTCCACCGTACAAGTCCAACTTTACCCCGAATTTTAAATGAGTAAGGAGATGATGTTGAAAATATTACGATTGTTTAACATCAAAGTTTTTAGCCGATAGCATAAAGGTCTCAATCAGGAGTCAATTAAGCTTCGAACGTCCAAAATCTGTGCAAACTAGATATATACCCCTACCCCTTCAAACCACCCTTTCATGTAACAGCTGAACTGCTCTAATTCCCAGTTAGCTGTACATTTTATCAATGCCTAGGAACCAGCAAGTTGAAGTTGAACCTCTGTCCCCAGCCGCAGCCCCTTACTGGAACAACATAGATGATGATGGCCTCACCGTGGAATATAAGCGTCATCGCCGCCACCAGAAGTACGTCATGTGCTGTGGCTGCGTCACCGCCCTGATTTTGATTCCAGTGGTGGTTGTCTGTGTGCTAATCTTCACCGTTTTTGGTGCTAGATGTCCAAAACTAAGAGTGAACTCGCTCCAGATTGATGGGTTGGATCGTGTCAACTGGACTGATATTAGGCCTAACACAAATTTGTCCATCATAGCCGATGTCTCAGTGAAAAATCCAAATATAGCCTCCTTCAAATACAACAATGCATCAACCATTCTTTACTATGATGGGAACATCATCGGAGGAGCTAAGACACCAGGAGCAACTGCCAAGGCTGGTCGGACTCTCAGGTTGAATGTGACTATGGATATTCTGCTTGCCAAATTCCTGAATGTTTCCCGGCTGCAGGCTGATTATCTTGCAGGGATACTGCCAATGAGTAGCTACACCAGAATCAGTGGCAGGGTGAAAATTTTTAACCTTATAAAAAGGGGTGTTGTTGTAAGGACAAATTGCAGCATGATTGTTAATGTTACTAGTTATACCATTAAACATCAGGACTGCAAGAGAAAAGTTACTCTGTAGCAGACTGGCAAGGTATATCTGCAGAGGATTATATTATTTATTTACTGGAATTAATTCCCCAACAGATGTAAATACGAATGATGAGTCTACGTTAAAATAAAAAAAAATAAAAAAACCGTCCTACAGTCAGTGTCCATTTTTATGAAGCGTATTAGTATATTGTCGTTGATATCATGGTTAAACATTGATTAAATGTTGAATAAACAGGTAAATTGAACTTACAACTTCTGGGAACAAACTCACTGCGCTTGTCAATTTGCATCTGTTTGAATTTTAGTGCTGCAAATTCGGGCTTTCCTTGTAGAAGGAAGTCTTGAGACTATAAATTTAAAATGGACTAATTCTATTTTGCATTTCTAAACTTGTACCACTTTTTTAATTTGCACTCTAAACTTTAATTTTGAATACCTTGCACCCTAAACTTTTAATTATGGACACTTTACACCCTAGCTTTGCAAGTTTGTCTAATTTAACTCCAATCAATGACAATATTACCAAAATCACTTTACCACATTAACGTTCGATGGCACTATCAATTTCCCCCTTAACGTTACATTATAGTCACTTTACCCCCAAGACTAATAGTCAAAATTAGCGGAATTTGTCAATCAATGTGAAAAGACATGTTTAGCTTTTAAAATTATTATCGTTTTAATTATGGGTCTCATTATCAATTTACCCCATAGAATTATTTTTTAGGCAATTTATCCGATCATTAAACCAACTTAACAACTTAAAAAAATTTAGAAGAAAGTACTCTCCTCTTTGTATAATAAAAATAATAAAAAAATTTAGAATGACTCTTCTCCTTTTTAGTATCAAGAAAAAAAAGTTAAAGTATTAATCTCTTTCTTCTTGGCAATCTTATTAATATTAAAAATAAAGAAAGATTGGGGGGTGGAGAGAGAGAGCTCAATTCTTTTTTTTTTTTAAATACAAATAAGAAAGAGTTAAATATTTTTATTATTTTAAAATTATTTTATTTTTTTTGTTTACCATTCAATTCCAATCCTCATCCCGATAATTTTAAAGTAATACGATAATGTTAGACTCTTCTTTATTTTCTTTCTTTGCAAAACCTAATTTTCTGTATCTTTCTTTCCTATCTCTTTTTCTTTTCCTAATATTAATAAGTGTGAAAAAAGAAATTTGAGAAAACCCTTTTATTTTTATGTTTTTGGATCTTTTAAAGTGAAAAAAAGGAAGAAAAATCACTCCAACTTTTTTATTTTTAATTATATATAAAAAAAGGTAAATATATTTAAAATTTTTTGACTATACTAGTTAGATTAACAATGAGGCAAAAATGCCTAGAAAATAATTTTAAGGATTAAAGCCATTGTATCACTATAATTTAAAGAATAAAAGGATATTTTTTGTCCAAAATTTCTTTAACATATTAAATTGAATTACTCATGGGGGTTAAGTGATTAAAAGATAAAGTTAGGAGGTAAAGTGATAATAACCCTAACAATATATCGTTTTGTTCTATTTGCAGTGGCTTGTCTCTATACAAAGGGAATATTACAATTGACTTCAAAGACTTCTAGAAGAAAAAAAAGATGGAGTAATACACCCAAAGAAATTGAATGCTTCAACGCGAGAGCATACATGTGTCGTCCAACTGCATTGCCGCAGTCAAAATTCAATGCTCGAGTACGCAGTTAGGACCAAATTCAAGAGTCTACGAAGAGTTTAGACGGTCCAGACCCTCGCATAAGCTCTACTCAGAAAATAGTAAACTAAATTTATTCTTCCAATAGTTAGCTAACGTTAGTTTAAGTTGTATGAAAAAAATTAAACCTATCAAAATCAAATGGAGAGAGTGTATTAAATAAGAATATATTTAAAAAAGTTAAAAATTAACTATATTTTTGAACTGAAATGTGAATTATAATTTAAAATAAATAAAAAATAAAAAATAAAATTATCAAAATGAAACAAAGGAATGTTACAATTGACTTAAAGACTTCTACAAGAAAGAAAGATAGAATAATGCGCCCAAGAAATTGAATGTTTCTTTGACTTACATGTGCGCGTAAACGTGTCGTCCAACTGCATTGCCGGAGTCCAAAAGTTCTTCCATTTTCCAAAAGTTTGCCGCAGTCAAAAGTCAATGCTCAGAGCCCGCGGTTAGGACGAAATTGAAGAGTCTACCAAGAGTTAGACGGTCCAGACCCTCGCAAAAGCTCTACTCAGAAAATTTGTTCAATTATATAAGAGATTCCGCTATGGTAATTGGTACATACTTTCAGCGAGCAACCTAGCTAATTGTGATCGACCCACTTCAGAAAATCTGCCATGGGCGAGAAAGAACAGGCTAAGCCTTTGGCTCCGGCATCCCACAGGATCCACGTAGAGGAAGGAGCTGAAGCTCAGTCCATGGAGACTAAAAAGTACAACAGGAGGAGGTGCATCAAATGCTGTGGCATCTCTACCGCCCTCATATTGATTCTAGCTGCGACCATGTTGGTGCTTGCTTTCACCGTATTTCGCGTTAAAAAACCCGTTTTGAAGATGAACTCCGTCAAGGTCGAAGGATTGGATGTTGCTATGGAGGCAAATTTTCGTCTGGGGACAAACGTGACACTTGTAGCAGATGTCTCGATGAAAAATCCGAACGTGGCCTCCTTCAAGTTAGATAATTCGACGACTTATCTTTTCTATGGTGGCAAGATGGTTGGGGAAGCCAAGACTCCGCCGGGGCATGCCAGGGCGAGGCGGACGATGCATATGAATATCACGGTGGATATTCTGGCAGATCAACTGCTGGATGTGCACCGGCTGTGGAGTGATCTGCAAGCAGGGGCTTTGCCTATGGGTAGCTACACAAGAATAAGTGGTAAAGTCAACATTTTAAACATCATTAAGAAGCACGTTGTTGTGAGAATGAATTGCACTATGACTGTTGATATCCACAGCCAGTCCATGAGGGATCAGGACTGCAAGAAACATGTTTCCTTCTAGATTGAGTACCGGTTAATTAATTAGGATTTTATATTTATATTTTTGAGGGTGTATGGTTTTGAGAATTAATTTGGTAGAATCCTAAAGATAGATAGATCATTCCATGCTTGCATCAAGCGATGGAATGAAGAATATGCATTCCGTCATGTAAAATTCAAAAATTGAGAGCATTCTGGTCAAGAATTTGTATGTTTATCTTATCCGTGCAAATATGCATGTACAAAACTTTAACACATAGCTTATGATATCAATAATGGTTACTTGAGTATTTTTTTGATACTATCATATTCTTGACTGGTTAGAGACTTTGTACGACTACTAGCTATGGCCGATGCAGAATACTTTTTTTCTTTTTTCTTTTTTTCTAGAAGTGATAAATGTTGTATAATCTAATCTATTCTACACTAAGGGAGGGGACAGACCTAAGAAAGCCCAAGAGTAATCTGGAGAGGACTAAACCACCACTAGATCAAACAGATCCACTATGCATCCGCTTGAATTTTTTAAACAAAATTACTTTTTAATATGGCAATTGGTGAGAGGCAAGAATACACTATATATCAAACTTTAATGCTTTGGTGGTGGCTACCGATCCAAAGGATGGTGGTTGCCTATGCCGACTCCATTAAAAGCCTTTTCGTTAATTTTTTGTCCAACGTGAATATAGTCTCTTGCAAATTGAAATAAAATTTTACCTGCCGACTAATCTAAATTACCCGATTTCATAGTGGGTTGAATAAAATTCTTAGGCCTATTGGGTTGGGTGCCAGACCAAGTCAACAAGCAGCCATTATCCTCCTGGGACGACACGAAATTGATCGTGGAACAACTTACTAGTCACTGGTCTAGAGTCCAGACATAGACTAGCCCAATTCGGGTGGTAAAATAGTTCGATTGTGTTGATACATGGACTGTAGGTTTAATAACACTACGCGAGGCCACCTAATAACGCATATACGTATTATTGGGCTTTTCGCAAAGAATGGGAAATGTACTCTTCAATCAAAATAGTAGTTCAGTCTAGAAGCACCCAAATGTAAAAGATTTAAGGGTTAAAAATAAAAAAGCCCCCTGTGATAAGCCTAATACACAGAAAAGCCCCCCATGGTTTCAAAATATACAACACGACCCCTCATGCTTTGAACTAAATTGTAAAGGTGACGGAATCCGTTAAACTTAACGGAAATGACTTATTGGAATCTAAAAAAAAAATTTTATACCTAATTTTTATCAAATATACCTGTTCTACCCCTTAACTCTCAATTCTCTCTACTTAAAAAATAAAACAAATGATTTTTTTGAGCTGTCTTTTGTTTAATTATGTAAGGGTATTTTGGTCATTTGGACAATTTCCGTTAAGTTTAACGGATTCCGTCACCTTTACAATTTAGTTCAAAGCATGAGGGGTCGTGTTGTATATTTTGAAACCATGGGGGGCTTTTCTGTATATTAGGCTTATCACAGGGGGGTTTTTTGTTTTTAACCCAAGATTTAATTATTGAAAGAAATGCGCTGGTTTGTTTGGATAGAGGTTTATTTGCCAAAATTTATTTGTTTACATCACCATTACAATTTCCAACACACCTTTTTATCTTCCCAATTACCTTTTTATCTCACATACATCACATCACAAAAAGTGCTACAGTAAAAATATCTCAAATAATTTACAATCCAAACAGATAACTGAGTTTGCAGCTTCTTCGTGTTTCCCAATTTTAACTCCATTTGGATTAGTTGTTTTTAGGGGTGTTTTTGAAAAACTTTGCTGTAGCAGAGTTTTTAGAGTATATTTTAAAATATTTTTAGAAAATATTTTGAAATATTTTTTATTGGCACTTTATTATGAGATATTTGGTAAAATTTTAAAAAAATTTAAACTAATTTTTAGATTATCTTTTAGAGTACTTTGTTGTAACTTTTATTATTTTTGAAAAACTAGTTTTTAAAAAACACTCCAAAAACAGGAGATCCAAACAGAAAACATATCGAGAAGATGAAAAAAAAAGGGTTTGAAGGTGGCTCCTAAAAAAAGGCACGCGAGGTTTCCCAAATTAGAAACTGCACTATTTATGGCCATATATTACAAGGAACAGTTTCATGAATCTGAGCGAGGTTTATGCTCAAAACTATAATAATCCTTCAAGTTTTCTTTTCGCTGCTTTTATGATCTTATATCAACTACAGCTTCACACTTTTCTTGGACATGATTATATATATACATCCCTTCCATGCATGAACTTGCAAGGTTTTTCCCTCCCGAAGGGCATATGGAACACTTTTGTCTTTGGGTGGCGGATTTGTACTTTTATGATCAGCTCCTACAGTTTTGACTTTTGAGACCTGAATTTTTTTTCATTTCAACCATAATATTTGTATAATCTACTTTAATTTAGTCTAAGGGAAAAGGGAGTCGACGAAAAAATTGTCGGAGTCCCACCCCCACCAAGATTTAAATGTCTTGGTGGTACCAACAGCCCAAGAAGTTTGGGCCATGATTCATCAAATCTGTTTAGAACATTCTGTGTAAATTTTTTTTGTCAAAAAAAAAGAAAATAAAGTCAAATACTCATAGAATTAATTAAAAGTGGAAAATATGCTAAATTTTGACATTAAGACTTTAGAAAAGTGCATTTGTATGCCCGACCTGGATCCCGATTCACACGAGATTTTCAGTGTCACTTTTTCAGTAGTAATTCAGTGTCACTTTTATATTTATATCAATTGTGTCTTATTTATTTAATTTATCATGTGTTATTTATTTAAATTTCTTCTATCATCACGTGATAAGTGCGATTGACACTGAATTTAATGCTGAATAGTGACATAGAGGATCCCAACTGATCCTTGGCCCGCAGAAACCCTCCCCCAACACTCGCGCACCAACAAGGCAAAATACCACTCCCATCAATTCAGTGCTCTGAGCTCTGCTGTCTGCTCTTCTTAGGTTCCTTTCGGCTTTTCGTGTCATATGGGTTTCGTCAAGTAGGTGAATAAACTCGCTTGAATTTACGTACCACATCTTTTGGAAGAGATTTTAACCAAGTACTACATCCATATTGATTTGACCAGGCAAAATTTCTCTTGCCCTTCTATTTTTATTTTTTTTATCATTTGTTTTCTTGATAAAGTTCGACTTGTCAATCGGGTCCAATGAGTCGGCTTTCATAAGATCGAATTCAACTCATTTAATTTGTAATATTTTTGGATTTCGAAATATGATTTTTAGATTAATAAATGTGAAACTCATACTCAACTTACGTAATATTTGGATTGCGAGTCTTATTCGAGTTTAGTTCAAACTCACTTATTACTCATTAATTTTCTTAATATAATTACTATAACTATTAAGTTGTAAAATTAATTTAATATTTACAAGACTACAACATTAAAACTAAACATGAACAAGTAATAGTTTTTAAAAGGTATATAAATCAAAAAAATTTCAACAATATTTATATTTAATTCATTCAAAATACATGAAAAATAGTAATAAAACATGCGGTCATAAACCAATACATTTTCGAATGTTGGACTTTTTTGTAACCTTGTGATTTGAATTCAAACATGTTTGATGATTTGTGTTTCTAGACCAAAAAAAAAATCAACCAATATTATGCTAACACAAAAATTTACTCAAACAATAAGAAAAGTTAGATATTCAATTATGCATTACTAATATTGGGTCTCAAGAAAAGTTAGTAGAAGAGTTTTCAGATATATATTTGTGTTTTATAATTTATATATATTTAGTATTAAGTAATAATATATTTTGATATATAATTATACATAATATCAAAATATAAATATTATATATATATAGGTAATTAAAAGGTCGGACCTATATTGGGTTTGAATCTAATGAAATTCAAACTTAACTCATATTTAATTCGAACTTAATTTTTAGACTCAAATTTAGACAGACTCAATAAAAGGTCGGACTTATCGGACTTTTTCTCAAGCCAAACGAGTCGAGATCAGATTGATTTGATTCCATTGACAGTCCTAGATAAAGTGAATTGAAATCAAGGTCCTTCAGTGGTAATAACTCACTTTTGAATCAAGGGCCTTCAACTTCAAGCTGATTATTCTTTATGATCTAATCCGAGTCCCTACCTTTCCGGTCCTTGAACAATTGCATTAATATATAAACGGTCAAGTAGACAGGTGGATAGTTAAGTCCCCAAGTTTATCTCAAGAGTTATCAGCTTTTAGGGTTAAATTTGAGATTAAGTTTAATTAACTAACTTCAAAAATCTGATAAAAATAAAAATAAACGGATGGATAAAGCTACATTGCTACTACAATAATGCCAGACTACAGTAGCGAATATCAAAGCTTTCTCACTGCTTTAGTAGCCCCAAACCAAATCCCGCCACAAGGAGACAAATTGAATCTCCCACGTACATTTCATCAAGATAGGAATAGGGAAGTATCAACATCAAGTATCTTCACGAGTTCCAATAGGAATGGAGTCCTGTCGCGGACCATGCTTAGTAAATATGGGAAATGGTAGAGCCTTTTAAGGAACTGAACAACCTAGGTTGGTTTGTTTGGATAGTGGATTATTTGTCAAATTTTATTTGTTTATATCATCATTACAATTTTTAACACATCTTTTTATCTTCCTAATTACTTTTTTATCTTACATACATCACATCACAAAAAGTATTATAGTAAAAATATCTCAAATAATATACAATACAAACAGAGCCAATTTGGACTCGTTTGAATTCGAAAAAAGTTTAATTATTTAATAAATGAATCAAATTTAAATATAATACGAGACTTATTTAATAATTACGTCTAATACGAATTTACTCGAATAGTTCATGAATACATATATAAATATATTAAATGTATATTATATTTTACTAAAAAGGAGTAATTGTACATAAATTAGCCTAATATTATTTGTTTTTTTAAATCAAGAAACACAATTAAGCTTATTCTAAATAATGCATTATATATTAAAAATATAATTAAATTATCTCCGAATTCAAATTCAATCTTGAGCTCAAGTTTGAATTTGGCTCATTTAATTTAATTAGTCGATTTCGAATTCGAACTCAAGTATTTGTACAAATAAGTGAATCAAATTCAAGCAATTTAATATTCGAATCGGACTTAAACCCTATTCGTATAATAGTTAAATATTTTTATTATTTTAAAATTATTTTATTTTTTTTGTTTACCATTCAATTCCAATCCTCATCCCGATAATTTTAAAGTAATACGATAATGTTAGACTCTTCTTTATTTTCTTTCTTTGCAAAACCTAATTTTCTGTATCTTTCTTTCCTATCTCTTTTTCTTTTCCTAATATTAATAAGTGTGAAAAAGGAAATTTGAGAAAACCCCTTTATTTTTATGTTTTTGGATCTTTTAAAGTGAAAAAAAGGAAGAAAAATCACTCCAACTTTTTTATTTTTAATTATATATAAAAAAAGGTAAATACATTTAAAATTTTTTGACTATACTAATTAGATTAACAATGAGGCAAAAATGCCAAGAAAATAATTTTAAGGATTAAAGCCATTGTATCACTATAATTTAAAGAATAAAAATTGAATTACTCGTGGGGGTTAAGTGATTAAAAGATAAAGTTAGGAGGTAAAGAGATAATAACCCTAACAATATATCGTTTTGTTCTAATTGCAGTGGCTTGTCTCTGTACAAAGGGAATATTACAATTGACTTCAAAGACTTCTAGAAGAAAAAAAAGATGGAATAATACGCCCAAAGAAATTGAATGTTTCTAGTCAAAATTCAATGCTCAGAGTACGCAGTTAGGACCAAATTCAAGAGTCTACGAAGAGTTTAGATGGTCCAGACCCTCGCAAAAGCTCTACTCAGAAAATAGTAAACTAAATTTATTCTTTCAATAAAGTTAAATAATCCTTTGTTTAAGTTGTATGAAACAAATTAAACCTATCAAAATCAAATGGAGAGAGTGTATTAAATAAGAATATATTAAAAAAAATTAAAAATTAACTATATTTTTAAACTGGAACGTGAATTATAATTTAAAATAAAAAAAAATAAGATTATCAAAATGAAATAAAGGGAATGTTACAATTGACTTAAAGACTTCTACAAGAAAGAAAGATAGAATAATGCGCCCAAGAAATTGAATGTTTCTTTGACTTACATGTGCGCGTAAACGTGTCGTCCAACTGCATTGCCGGAGTCCAAAAGTTCTTCCATTTTCCAAAAGTTTGCCGCAGTCAAAAGTCAATGCTCAGAGCACGCGGTTGGGACGAAATTGAAGAGTCTACCAAGAGTTAGATGGTCCAGACCCTCGCAAAAGCTCTACTCAGAAAATTTGTTCAATTATATAAGAGATTCAGTTATGGTAATTGGTACATACTTTCAGCGAGCAACCTAGCTAATTGTGATCGACCCACTTCAGAAAATCTGCCATGGGCGAGAAAGAACAGGCTAAGCCTTTGGCTCCGGCATCCCACAGGATCCACGTAGAGGAAGGAGCTGAAGCTCAGTCCATGGAGACTAAAAAGTACAACAGGAGGAGGTGCATCAAATGCTGTGGCATCTCTACCGCCCTCATATTGATTCTAGCTGCGACCATGTTGGTGCTTGCTTTCACCGTATTTCGCGTTAAAAAACCCGTTTTGAAGATGAACTCCGTCAAGGTCGAAGGATTGGACGTTGCTATGGAGGCAAATTTTCGTCTGGGGACAAACGTGACACTTGTAGCAGATGTCTCGATGAAAAATCCGAACGTGGCCTCCTTCAAGTTAGATAATTCGACGACTTATCTTTTCTATGGTGGCAAGATGGTTGGGGAAGCCAAGACTCCGCCGGGGCATGCCAGGGCGAGGCGGACGATGCATATGAATATCACGGTGGATATTCTGGCAGATCAACTGCTGGATGTGCACCGGCTGTGGAGTGATCTGCAAGCAGGGGCTTTGCCTATGGGTAGCTACACAAGAATAAGTGGTAAAGTCAACATTTTAAACATCATTAAGAAGCATGTTGTTGTGAGAATGAATTGCACTATGACTGTTGATATCCACAGCCAGTCCATGAGGGATCAGGACTGCAAGAAACATGTTTCCTTCTAGATTGAGTACCGGTTAATTAATTAGGATTTTATATTTATATTTTTGAGGGTGTATGGTTTCAGAATTAATTTGGTAGAATCCTAAAGATAGATAGATCATTCCATGCTTGCATCAAGCGATGGAATGAAGAATATGCATTCCGGCATGTAAAATTCAAAAATTGAGAGCATTCTGGTCAAGAATTTGTATGTTTATCTTATCCGTGCAAATATGCATGTACACATAGCTTATGATATCAATAATGGCTACTTGAGTATTTTTTTGATACTATCATATTCTTGACTGGTTAGAGAATTTGTACGACTACTAGCTATGGCCGATGCAGAATACTTTTTTTCTTTTTCTTTTTTTTTTTAAATGATAACTGTTGTATAATCTAATTTATTCTACACTAAAGGGAAGGGACAGACCTAAGAAAGCCCAAGAGTAATCCGGAGAGGACTAAACCACCACTAGATCAAACGGATCCACTACGCACCCGATTGAATTTTTTAAACAAAATTACTTTTTAATATGGCAATTGGTGAGAGGCAAGAATGTACTATATATCAAGTTTTAATACTTTGATGGTGGCTATCGGTCCAAAGGCTGGTGGTTGCCTATGCCGAATACATTAAAAGTCTTTTCGTTAATTTTTTGTCCAACATGAATTACATAGTCTCTTGCAAATTAAAATAGCGTGAGTAAATTTTACCTGCCGACTAATCTAAATTACCCGATTTCATAGTGGGTTGAATAAAATTCTCAGGCCTATTGGGTTGGGTGCCAGACCAAGTCAACAAGCAGCCATTATCCTCCTGGGACGACACGAAATTGATCGTGGAACAACTTACTAGTCACTGGTCTAGAGTCCAGACATAGACTAGCCCAATTCGGGTGGTAAAATAGTTCCATTGTGTTGATATATGGACTGTAGGTTTAATAACACTACGCGAATAACGCATATACGTATTATTGGGCTCTTCAATCAAAATAGTACTTCAGTCCAGAAGCACCCAAATGTAAAAGATTTAATTATTGAAAGAAATGAAGTTTAACTGAGTTTTCAGCTTCTTCGTGTTTCCCAATTTACCATATCGAGAAGATGAAAAAAAAGGGTTTTAAGGTGGCTCCTAAAAAAAGGCACGCGAGGTTTCCCAAATTAGAAACTGCACTATTTATGGCCATATACTACAAGGAACAGTTTCATGAATCTGAGCGAGGTTTATGCTCAAAACTATAATTATCCTTCAAGTTTTCTTTTCGCTGCTTTTATGATCTTATATCAACTACAGCTTCACACTTTTCTTGGACATGATTATATATATACATCCCTTCCATGCATGAACTTGCAAGGTTTTTCCCTCCCGAAGGGCATATGGAACACTTTTGTCTTTGGGTGGCGGATTTGTACTTTTATGATCAGCTCCTACAGTTTTGACTTTTCAGACCTGAATTTTTTTTTAACGCAACGATGATACTTGTATAATCTACTTTAATTTAGTCTAACGGAAAAGGGAGTCGACGTAAAAATTGTCGGAGTCCCACCCTCACCAAGATTTAAATGTCTTGGTGGTACCAACAGCCCAAGAAGTTTGAGCCATGATTCATCAAATCTGTTTAGAACATTCTTTGCATAAATTTTTTTTGTCAGAAAAAAAAAAGAAAGAAAATAAAGTCAAATACTCATAGAATTAATTAAAAGTGGAAAATATGCTAAATTTTGACATTAAGACTTTAGGGAAGTGCATTTGTATGCTCGACCTGGACCCCGGATTAAGCTCGGATTAAGCTACATATAATACCCTTGAGATCTCCCATTTCCGGGGGACCGTGAATATGTTAGTAGTACATGAGAATGATTTCTGGGCATTGAAGGGATTTAATTTGAAAGGGTTGATAGCCAGGCGTTTGGACCTTCCATCCAAGTCTTAATTACGTATATATCTCATGGTCCTTGGCCCGCAGAAACCCTCCCCAACACGCGCGCACCAACAAGGCAAAATACCACTCCCATCAATTCAGTGCTCTGAGCTCTGCTGTCTAGTGTCTGCTCTTCTTTGGTTCCTTTCGGCTTTTCGTGTCATATGGGTTTCGTCAAGTAGGTGGAGTAACTCGCTTGAATTTACCTACCACATCTTTTGGAAGAGATTTTAACCTAGTACTACATCCATATTGATTTGACCAGGCAAAATTTCTCTTGCCCTTCTATTTTTATTTTTTTTATCATTTGTTTTCTTGATAAAGTTTGACTTGTCAATCGGATCCAATGAGTCGACTTTCATAGGATCGAATTCAACTCATTTAATTTATAATATTTTTGGATTTTGAAATATGATTTTTAGGTTAATAAATGTGAAACTCATACTCAATTTACATAAAATTTGAATTGCGAGTCTTATTCGAATTTAGTTCAAACTCACTTATTACTCATTAATTTTCTTAATATAATTACTACAACTATTAAGTTGTAAAATTAATTTAATATTTACAAGACTACAACATTAAAACTAAATATGAACAAGTAATAGTTTTTAAAAGGTATATAAATCAAAAAATTTTCAACAATATTTATATCTAATTCATTCAAAATACATGAAAAATAGTAATAAAACATGTGGTCATAAACCAATACATTTTCAAATATTGGACTTTTTTGTCACCTTGTGATTTGAATCCAAACATGTTTGATGATTTGTGTTTCTAGACCAAAAAAAAAATCAACCAATATTATGCTAATACAAAAATTTACTCAAACAATAAGAAAAGTTAGATATTCAGTTATGCATTACTAATTTTTGGTCTCAAGAAAAGTTAGTAGAAGAATTTTCAGATATATTTTTGTGTTTTATAATTTGTATATATTTAGTATTAAATAATAATATATTTGGATATATAATTATACATAATATCAAAATATAAATATTATATATATAGGTAATTAAAGGGCCGGACCTATATCGGGTTTGAGTCTAATAAGGTTCAAACTTGGCTCATATTAATTCGAACTTAATTTTTAGATTCAAATTTAGACAGACTGAGTAAAAAGTCGGACTTATCCGACTTTTTCTCAAGCCAAAAGAGCCGAGATCAGATTGATCTGACTCCATTGACAGTCCTAGATAAAGTGAATTGAAATCAAGGTCCTACAGTGGTAATAACTCACTTTTGAATCAAGGGCCTTCAACTTCAAGCCGATTCTCCTTCATGATCTACTCTGAGTCGCCACCTTTCCAGTCCTTGAACAATTGCATTAATATATAAACGGTCAAGTAGACGGATGGATAAAGCTACATTGCTACTACAATAATGCCAGACTACAGTAGCGAATATCAAAGCTAATGGTCAAAGGAGCGAGGGACAAAGCTTTCTCACTGCTTTAGTAGCCCCAAACCAAATTCCGCCACAAGGAGACAAATTGAATCTCCCACGTACATTTCATCAAGATAGGAATAGGGAAGTATCAACATCAAGTATCTTCACGAGTTCCAATAGGAATGGAGTCCTGTCGCGGACCATGCTTAGTAAATATGGGAAATGGTAGAGCCTTTTAAGGAATTGAACAACCTACGATCAAGATCATGTTGATGTTGGACTCGTTTGAATTCGAAAAAAGTTTAATTATTTAATAAATGAATCAAATTTAAATATAATATGAGACTCATTTAATAATTAAGTCTAATACAAATTTATTCGAATAGTTCATGGATACATATATAACTATATTAAATGTATAATATATTTTACTAAAAAGGAGTAATTGTACATAAATTAGTCTAATATTATTTGTTTTTTTAAATCAAGAAACACAATTAAGCTTGTTCTAAATAACGCATTATATATTAAAAATATAATTAAATTATCTCCGAATTCAAATTCGATCTTGAGCTCAAGTTTGAATTTGGCTCATTTAATTTAATTAGTCGATTTCGAATTCGAACTCAAGTATTTATACAAATAAGTGAATCAAATTGGACTTAAACCCTATTCGTATAATATAGGATCAAAACTTGAAAACGAATATTTGACTCATTAAAAGTTTCAGACGTGGCTGTGTTTGGTGTAGTTGCAACGTTGCATATGTTATAATTTGATATATGCTTGTAGGCCCGGCTATGCTGCAACGTTTTTAAACCTGAACTGAAGAGCGAACTGAAAAATCTTTCGATTTACGATTCGATCGGTTCAATCGATTCGATCTCGATTCAAAGGTTTAATAATTTTTTATTCATTTTAATATTAAGAATTATGAATAAAACTAAAATATTTATTTTAAAAATAAATACTTAATAAAAACCGATTAAACCTCCCAATTTTAACCGATTCAACCAGTTATTGACCGATTCAATTAATTCTTTGATTTTTTATTTGAATTGAACCGAAGGCATGGCCAGATCACGATTCAACAAGTCGAGCCGGCTGATCCGATTCGATTTTCAAAACATTGCTATGCTGTTGGATTGATTTGATGTACATGAATAAAATTATGAATATAATAAAATTATATCACCGTACATTATATTACGTAAACAAGTATAATAATTAAAAGTCCCAATTATACTTGCCCGTGGTCTGTAAATAATGGACTAGTCAGGTAAAGACGCAATATACAATTTCGTATATTTGTCCTTGAAGTTTCATCCTCGCCCACACAATCTTCTCACTAATCTGTTCCTTTTCCAGTTCTACGACCTTTCGTGTTTGCACTTGCAGCAGCTCGCACGATCGTATATTTTCTCCTCTTTGAATGGAAGACAGGACAGGAACAGGGAAAGGCGTAAAAAGAAAAAGTGAAGCGGAAAGGAAGAATCTCACTGCTATTGTTGTAGGTACTTTCTCCAATTTCTTGAACTACTCCCCCAGTGAGAGACCAAAAGACATTTTCTTCTTTACCGGCGAGTTCGATAATGAACAAACACCAAGAAACTGGACTTTCCGATTTTCCTCCTCATTTTTCATTGTTAACGTGAATCAAACATTTCCTCAAAGAATGTTAATTACAAAAATTCAACTCTACAAAAAAATCCCAAGTGCTGCTTTTCAAAATCATTTTGCTGTTCCAAAGAAATTCAACAGGAAAGATCAAATCAAACCCTTTACTAATAAATGAACTGTGCCAAATTTGAGAGCACAGTTCAAACACTTGAATTCGTCCTTGATTACATGTAGCTAGCACTACTATTGTGCTCTCAAATTTCTGACCATCCTTACAAAATACAGAAAAATTCTAACACGTGATATTACTAGCATACCCCTTCCTTTCCCATCACAACTTTGCAAGTAAATACCGGAGTAATAATTGATTACTTACATTAATTGAGATATTTACAGCAAAACGAAGCAGAGGTGATAATTGATTACTCATTTCCCAGTCAATGCCGTCGCTTACATCAAAGAAGACATACCCTACCAGCCTACCAAACTAGGGCATCTCTACTCCTTACTTTTCACTTCATTAATTAATAAGTTTTGATACCACTTTACATAAATTAATATTTATCTACGGCTACTACTACTCCATCAAGCACTTACAAACAACCTACTCAAGTACAGCAATTAATTGTAAATAAATCTACGAATTTACTAATAAGTAAACCATCACGGGGTGAGTCTCCTTACAATTGCATGTCCCTCTGGCTATCTCTCTGTCTTTCTCTCTGAACAGGGACAGAAGGGATCAAGAATCTGTTGATTCACTACTAACTCACCGATTTCTCATGTGACGGATCGCTTACTGAACGTGATAGAATCGAAGCCTCCAAATCTACAATGCATGTCATCGTTTAAAATGATTAAGAACATAAGTATTCATTACCACATTACACCATCTTTTTGAGGTTTAGCTCCTACACCTCTGAGAATTTCTCAAGTTTTGATATCCGTTTGTTTTTCCGGTGATTATTCAGTCACATATTTGGAAAACTAAAAAAAAACCTTGAACGCATGTAACTGAAATACTACTATGACTGTCAATTTACTGGGTAAATTCTCGTTTACCTCTAGAAGCATTGAAAGATCTTTTGCAATGCAGGATGGCACTTTGGATCCCATCCTGTTGCTGCAACAGGGAATCATCCCGTCGATTCGAGGCTACAGGCGCCGCCGGAGCCGTCACCACCGACGACGACGCCGACCGACTTTTGCCCAAATGCTTACAGACAACGCGGAGCCCAGCCTGTAAATTCCCCTGCTTCTGAGTGCTCTTCACTACATTACTCCCTCCCGCGACTTCACACGCCACCTCGCCCCCCTCACCACCGCCATTCCCTTTCATGGCAGTGGGTTTCTCCGTCGGAGACTTCACCTCCGCCGTCGTCGGAGGTGGACCAGCTCCGGGCTTTGGAAAGCTCAACTGCCCGGAAAATCTCAGCTTATCTCCATACCTTTTTGAAACGCGAACATAGAGCGGCTTAACTTTCTTCAGATACTTTTGCATGACATCTTTGGAAAACTTCCTCTCATCTGTAGGGCCATTCGAATCAGTGGTATTCTCAACGACGCCGTCGTTACTAGCATTCCGCTTAATTGACTTGCTGTTTGTTCCCTTGGAACTATTATCTCTGGTGAACAGAGAAACCAGAGGAACTTCTTCAACCTTCAACTTGACAGTGAAGAGTTTACTAGTCTGTTGCTTTCTTTCTTGATTCTCCGGTTTCTCCTGGGGTTCGGATTTTTTGTGGTTTTCGCGGGAATTGGACTTGGATTTGTTGAAGTTCAACATCTGGACGCGAAATTTGGTAGCGGATTTTAAAATGGAGGAAACTGGATGAAATTTTGGGAGAGCTTCGGCGGCGTTGAGAATCATGGAGGAAGAATCTATGGGAACGAGACGGCCTTTGAAGAACAAGTCATCGGAAGGAGAAAGCGAGACATTTGGATCGTTAGAGTCGCCGCTGGAGCTGGAGGAAAGCGTGAATTTAATCTCCTCTCCTTCTTCTCCTTCTTCTTCTTCTTCTTCTTCTTCTTCGTCATTTTCTACTTCTCCTCCATCACTCTTTACCTTTTCACTCACATTTTCTACTTGTTCATCAACATTCGGGACCAAATCTCTGTGGTCCTTCATTTGTTCCTCGGAGTCACTGTCGTCATCTTCTTCTGGAAGAGTGAATTCCAAGTCAAAGAAGGGACCATCGTCGCCGCCGTCAGAGTCGGAGTCTGAGGAGAAAGGACTGACCGCGGTGACTATGGTGGTGGTGGCGGCGGAAGAAGAGGAAGAGGAGTCTGCAGCGCGTAGGTTAGTAGGGCCGTCACATTTGAAAACTGCACCACCACCACGCCAGTACTTGAGTAAGCTAAATGCTTCCATTGTTGGTAAAGCCAGTATACAAGTTTTTGTTATTCTGCGGCTAGTTAACAAGACTTTGTAATAGCTATTACAGATAGAGATAAAAAGGATAAAGAAAAAAAAAATATCAAGAGCTTTGGGAGACAGAAAATGAAAATGAGAGAGAAAGAGTGTGTAATGTGGGTACTAAGTAGGGGGGGAGGGGTTGCAGGGGTGTGGCAGAATACTGCAGAGGGGCCTGAGGACTGAGGAGACAGAGGAAGGAAGGGTGCTGGTAAATGGTATGGGGTTGAAGAGAGGAGTACGGTTGTAGGGTAAGCTTTAATTAACCTTTTTTACCGGGAAAGAGGGAGAAGACGGGCGTGAATGTTGAAAGTGTTGTGAGACCTTTGCCACCAAGGACCAAAGACTAACGGGGAAGAATCTATTGGACTTCATTTGTTTGTTTGTTTGTTTGTTTGGAACACGACTTGGTTCAATGTAAATTGGATCCCTCGAATAGGTTTCGACAAAAAAAAATAAAAAATAGGTTTCGACGGAGTCAGGTCCTGGGGTCGAAATTCCGCAGCAACATCGGCTTCTCCGTGTGTTTAACGTGCTAAGTCTAAGTTGGGGCGCTGGACCGGGCCGAAGTGGGATTAGTCGGGCCGCCTTTAAGGACTTGACCCGGACACCCACTCCGTCGACAAAAAAAAAAAAAAAAAGAAAAGAATAGGTTTCGACATGAACACAAATTTATGGGTGTAAATTTACCGATCTAAGAGACTCGGACTCGCAAGTAACTTCATGAAAAGCCTGGTTCGAACTCGACATGGCTGAGTTTGAGCTATTTGATAAATTAATTGAGTTAAATTTGAATATAAAAATTAAAACTCAAGTACTCAAGAATTTTATCGGCCAGTGTATTTATAATAAAATTTCAATTATTTATTATAAAATTATGAATGAGATCAATTGCATTATAACATACCTTAACAGCATCGATTAATTTTATAATTTACTAAAACATCAATCTTGAGAACTTGAATGAGATGGATTAAGTTCAATCGAGTTCGATTAAACTTGATTGTATTTGGTCATGGTGAAGCTTGAATTCAAATAATATAAAATAAGTTACTTTGAAAAACTCAGCGAATTGGAACTCGAGTAATGCAATGCTCATTCTCGAATAGACTCTGTAGTAGATCTAAACACAACTCATTTGACATTACAACAAATCAAATTGACTGCTAGTCTTTTGTTAACAAGTTATAACTTGCCCTACAAATATGAGAACTCGTACTAGATGGGAAAAAAAAATAAGTTTATACTATGTAATCAAAGTTTGAACTTGCATTTGACAAGAAGTGTTTTACCATATATCATTACTATAATTTGAAAGCAAATTCATTGAAAAATTAAACCAAAGTTGAGCTCTGAAGTTTTCATTTAGCACTCAGATTTTAGCACTCTGATCAATGATTTGTTGAATCAGAAGCAAAATTGAATTTGGAGAATCAAATTCGAGGCCAGGAATCTTGGTTAAATGTTTCGATTTAGATTCATAATGAATTAGAACTAAAGCTAAAATTGACCATTTTGGTTGAGTTCGAACAGTCATTTTTATTTTCCAAAAAAAAAAAGAAAAAAGACCAAATTAGCTCTTTAAATATGGTGTGAGGTATTTTTTTTTCATATATTCTGTCTCATCTTTCTTTTTACCATGTACTATTTTTTTCCTTTACTAATAATAACATGAAAGTTTTATTTTATTTTGTAAAATTCATTTGACTATATTTTCTTTTCATTCAAAGCTCATTGTCATTTTTTTTAATTACAATTTTATAACTATAATTGAGTAGCTGTAATTAAAAGGAACCGAAACTTTAATCAGAATTAAAATCGAAATCGAAGTTTCAAAACTGCAACCCTATATGTGGCTGGAATGAAATAAATAATCATTAAAACATTCTTTATTTCACTTCTATATGTGGCTGGAATGAAAATACCAGAATTAGCTAAGTGGTAAAATGTTACGTAGTTAGGTAAATAGATTTTCAGAAGTGCCTTAATCCAACCATTTAATAATTGCTTAGAAAGAGCAAAAACAATCATAATATTTAACTAATAATAATATTAATTATATTGTATATATAATCTGAATGTCTTATATTCAACTCAAAAATTTGCTGTTATCGAGGCTAAATTTATGGTTTTCTTTGGAGAAGGGATTTGAGACTGTTACGGTTTCACTGTAAATTAAATTATTATGGTAAATTATTGGAATCAGTCCAATTATTAGGAGAGGATTGGTAAGTATGTTCTCGCTGTCAAATTTAAGTTTCAAATCCAACCACTATTGATAGATAGAGGTGGAAAAAGGGTGCGCCAAAGCAAAGGGTACGAGGGTTAAAAATGATAATAGTACACTGAAATTACTGTGGTAACTTTGTAAGGTGGTTTGGCTGCAGAAGAAAGAGTCATGTGATTGCAGGCAGAGCCCGCGTCAGATGTCAGTATGTATACGGCTGCAATGCAAATGCAAATGCAAATGCAGGCACGAATGTGCAGTGAGTAGCAATAGAAAGCCTTCAATGGATCATTTATTTAATTTTAGGCCCTTCCAAAATACATCTCTCAGTACTCCTTTTTTCAGGAATTTGGTAGTGCCTTAAGGTGTAGGGTAATTTACAAATAGTAGCCTAAAAAGGACGCAATTATTTATTGAGGTCCCTTCCATTCAATAATGGTCAGCCTCGTTTTCTAATGCCAAAATCAATCATCCACATGTGCGGTATTCTGGTAGAATGTTTAATGTTGAGTATCTCGTTTGGGATACCTCTCTTTCTTTTTTTACAGCGAAGCTCCAGTCACTTAATTCAAACCTAAATAAAATAAAGTGGCCGGTGCTTTACTTTCATTATATGCGCTGAGCCCCCAGAAAAGCAAGCAACAATACCATTTATAGCTGTTGCTAATATTGTAGTGTGTTGTTATTTTTGTACTGTTAGAACGGAAACGGCGTCGGATTATCTATCCAGCAATGGATTGAAGGCAGATATTTTCGGTCTCCATTTCCATTCCATTTTGGGATGGGCTTGTGGACCCTTTTTCTTTTTATTTTCTTTTCCATCCTGGGATAGACAATTCTTTACCGGGTCGGGTCATTCAAGCCCACCATCTTCCACTTGGAACCTATCAGCTGATTTATCATTCTCCCCATATTTTCTTTTCTGTTTTAAAGAAGAAAACTCTAAACCAAGTTGTTAGAAACAAAAAAATGTAAAGGAAAGGGCTTAAGATTCATCAGATTACAAGAATCATATTCAACTCAACTGAAACGTCTCCGCCAAGTCCCTCCAGTTTGGCTCCGAAGAGATGGTCAAACTTTGGGGTACCCTTTGCCATGAACAAGTAAACTTAAGCCTGTTTGACTCGAGCCGAAAAGAAAAATGTTCTAAAGGAATGGATTTTGGACCCCATAACCCATTTCACAAATTCAAAAGGCGTCACACATTGCTATATTATTGTCTTGTTATCTTTATTTTATGGATCCTTCTTTATCTAAAGTTTAATCATCACGCAGAGATAGTTGAATTCTTTTTGGGCACTATAGTAGCAAACCATCATCCTAAAGCCACTTTAGCTCAGCCTCCAATTTGCCTAATGAGTAGTGACATTGAAGCTCAATTTCCAATGCTCTAACAAACATTCTGCTCCTTTTTTTTTTTTTTTTTTAAAGTATTACGTTTGTCCTACCAATCAAATGTTATCATTATTATTATTTGTCTTCTTGGCTTCAAACCTTAATTACCTATTGTTATGCTCCTGCTCCAAAAAAAAAAAGAAAAAAAGAAAAAAAAAAAGAAATACCTCTAGCACCACTAGGTTACTAACAACAAACTTTACAACTCAAGGTATTACCATGTTTCCCTCCGACCTCCACAATCATGGTCATCTTATTTAGTACTCCTATAAAAATACAATCATGGTGGAGATCCCGGAATTTGGAGCTTTCCCCTGCTTATTACTTTTATCATTTCTTTTCTTTTTTTTTCCCTTTGTTCTTTCTCTGTTATGGTCAACCATCCAAAAAGTTAAGGGCATTTCATTCCTCCCTTTCTAATGTGTTGTCATTTCATCAAAATATTTGCGAGCCCATCTGTATTGCTATTTTATGAATTTTTTATTAAAGAAATTGAACTATAATAATTTAATATATATAAAATAAAAAGATGATTGAAAATTGTATTTAAAGAAAACATAAATAATTTTGGATGAAAAATGGCAATCCAAATTAACAATGTCCAAGTTTCTAAAACATTTTATATAGACCCTGTTTGGCAAGTGAGTTTTTTGGGTGTTTGTCTAAAACTTTACTGTAGAAATTTTTTGGGTGTATGTAAATTTTTAAATATTTTAAAGTGTATAGTTTAGAAATTTTGAAATTTTTTTTAAAGTTACTGTAGTTAAAATTTTTAAAAAACTTGTAGCAGACAAATTTGGAAAAAAACTGAGATTCCAAACAGGCCCATAGATGTTACTTATTTGCTCTTCGCGTGATGATTTTCTCTAGAACTTGAAATTACAACAAAACTAGCTTAGAAATTTCTTTTTTTTTTTTTTCAAAAAAAAACTTAATTTAAGACACATGGAGTAATGTAGATTGTTTCTCCTCCTCATTTGTTTCCACCCACCCCCACCCGGCCCCACCTTCCTTACAGTCCAAACATTACATGGCCTCGCTTCAGGCCCTACTCACCGTTTAAATAAAGTGTTTGCACATTTTTTATCCAAAAAAAAAATAAAAAATTAGCTTTCATTTGTAGGAACAAGCTTAAACCATTGCCCCTCAGGATTTTCAGCACAATTAGGAACGTCATTGGAATTCTCGTCCAAGCACAGACACTTCCTAGTGACAACCATCGAGTCGGAAGAGTTCATCTCCAAGCACAAATATCCACCTTGGGCAGCAATGTGAAGCTGGGAGCTTGAAACCATTTTCCACAAAGTCGTTTGGTTCCCACAATCACTTGAAACAGTTGCCGGCTGACCATCACCAACAGCCCTTAAACACCCAAATGTCCCCTCGGCCTCCAGTTGAATTGAACTCCCAGCTTCCTGTTGTTTCCAGCGACCTGGACTTTGGCAATCACTACCCCGGACACTACCGTTATTTCCAATCTGGGCACATAGGCCACTCTGGGGATGATAAAGCTTGGAATGTGTTGTGTTATTCGACTTTGGATCTGCATGGCATAGAAACAAATTCACTATATATATTAAAGAGCATTTAGCATCATTAAGAAAATGAACATTTATTTTGTTTCCAGCGTCAGCTAGCACAAATTTGAAAGAAATGCATACTTTTTTTTTCATGCGGAAAATCTTGTCAAAAAAACAAGTTTGGTGATCATAATTCATACCCCAAATAATCTGTTTTACAAGCTGCAGCCTCCGCGAAAGAGTTGAGTTCCTGATGTGATCCCAGTTGACATCAAACATCCCATACACTTCCTCCAACTCAACCACGCCTTGCCTAAGTATATAGCTTCCCTGCAATGTCCACAAGGCCCAATCCAAATCGTGCTCGGCTACAAATGCCAACAAGCAACTCAAATACCTGTTATCTGCCTCATTCCCACCTCTTTGATCGGCTCCAAATTCACTCAAAAACAGAGGAACAGGGTTACTGCTGCTGACAACAAAAGCAGAATGATCCGCAAAACGTTGGCTCCTTTGTGCACATATCTGATTGGTTTGAGACAACCAGATTTGCCATGGAGTATCAAATGCATACCAATGCGCCTCGTACACCAGCTTGTTTGTGAAATTCAGTACTAGTGGCTTTTCCTTTACAAAACTAAGGTCAGTCTCGTACCCAAGACCTGAAACTATGATAAGCAAAGATGGGTTTTCTCCATGAATGACTGCTGCTCCTTGCGGGATGTACTCGTACCAATCATTTGTGTTCTGGCGTGGACCTCGTAGCTCATTTCTCATGCTCATGGCTACAACCTGTCGTATAAATGAAACTAAAAGTAAATAAATCATATTCTTGGTTGCTTAGTCGATGAATATGATTAGCAGTTTAGTAGATCAATAAGCTCAGTAGATTTCCTCCCAAAGCTTAATAATTACTACAGTAACCAGACCGCGTTCATGGATATATGTCATATGTTACTTACATTAGGAGCATCCTTGTACAGGTTTGCAACTGCAGTAAGGCCTTGTAACCATTCCTTGGGATCAAAGAATTCATCTCCAAAGAAACCATTTCCATCATCTCCACCACAGCACCATTGAGGTTTACTGACATGATTATCCAATATTACCATGATGTTCTTTCTCCCAAGCTCATAGACAACAGCCTTTTGGACCTCAACAACGGTGGCATCCAGCAATTGAGGATTATTCATTGCAATGCCTGCCACGGATCCATCGAGGCTCAACTGATTAAGGGACTCTCTGACTGTGAGGTTTCCGTAGTTTTCTCTGGTGAACATGAAAGTAGCCCACGTTAGCCGTACGCAGTTGAATCCCATCAAAGCTACATTGTCAACAATATAGGGCAATGGCTTCTTCTGCAGCCCCTCTACTATCAAGGGCTCTAAATGGCCTACCCAGTTGACACAAGTTAGCTTCACTCTGCTCCCAGTTTTATCATCAAGTATCCATCTTGAACTTGTTGAAAGAGGCAACGATTTGCTGAGTTTTGCAAATGAAAAAAGAAGAATCCATAGTAAGAATGTATGAAAATGAGAGGAGTTTTTCTCAGCCATTTTAATAGATGCAGAATGAACAAGACTACTACTACAACTTCAAATCTTCAATTCTAGTTTCTAGTAATTAGTAGTACTACAATTTTGAATGTGGCAGGGGACGTACTCTTACACTCTCCCATGGGTAATTAATTACTGCGCAACGACCTGTCAGGCTCTGATTAAACTCATTAAAGGAGGATGATATGCGCGATAGATAGATGATAGTTGTTTCCCATGATCCCATCCAAGTCCAACACAGCTTTCAAGTTCCAAAATTGATAAAGACTGAGTAAATCATCCCAAATTTCATTCTTTCCAAAATGAACTAGACCATCCACCCCATCACAAACATTTTTTTTCATAATCTTTATCAACGGCAGAATGGCACCAGTACAAAGGGGGCCACGTCGGATTGTGTTCACCAATTATTGGGTAATTTTGGGATGCTTAATGCTATGTTATCTACCAATCAGGAGTACTTTCTTGATTTTCATTTCTGTTTGCGCATTCGACAGCAGCGGTACAGGTAAGGATCTTGATCGCCGACCACGTTGCCGGATATCTTCTGAAGCATGTTCTTCGTTCATTGTAATTTTCATATCCGGGAAATTATATGAAAAAAAAAAAATGGAATCATAAACTAACTATCTAGGCCTTAGCTTTGGATGCTACAAATACAGTATTTCAGTACATGTTGCCGGTGAATAAGAAACTAAATATAGTGATCTCTAAATTAAGTACATGCATGGCTACAACTTCTAAAAGTGAACCAACAACGAAAAAATAATTTATACTTACAGTATATCGCTCTTACCAAAATTAAAAAAAAAAAACCACAAGGATGAAATCGTGACAATTTTCGGTTCAGTTTAACATGGACTAGATGTTTCAGTTATAATGAAAGAACAAAATAGTAGTACATGTTTGATTCGTAAATTCCACCAAAATATAAGAAAATCAAAGAAACATAAATTAAAACTCCAACAAGAAATTGAAGACTTTCAAATAAATATAAAGTCAACATCAAGGCTTGCCTTGCTATCTAGAAAACATAGTTGAAAGATTGATTCCTGAATGGACACGCTCTAATCGAACTTGACTTAAAACGCAACCAGGAGTTGCACCACTCTGCTGAAATTCATCCTAACTTAAGGATCCAATTCCTAAAAAAGAAATTAACCCAAAAAAAAAAAACAAAAATCTAGTGTATATTTGATTGAATGAGTTTGAACCATTGGCCCTGGGGATTTTGGGGATCATCTTCCTCAGGAACAATGCACTTGCTGGTTAGAATCCTTTTAGAATAGTATGGGTTGAATTCCAAGCACAAGTCATTCCCGTAATCATCTCTGCTGGCTAACTGGAACTGGGAATTCGGAGCCAGTTCCCAAGCACTTTGCCCTGTCAGGCATTCCCGCGTAAGAGCCACAGGTAATCCATCCCCAGTTGCTGTCAAACACAAGTCGCTTCCCTTCAATCTGATCGGTGTTCCCTCTCCTTCATAGCTCCATTGACTCGCATCCCAGCAATCAGTCGCACGAACCTCATTCTCGGCAACCTTGGCACAGTAACCACTCTGTGGATGGTACAATATCAAGTAATTTTTGACCTTTGATCTGGGATCTGCATCAGAAATTAAAAAGCAAGTTGGTTACCTGCTAAATTTGTACAAGAATTATTTAGTCGGGCCATCTAACAGTATATGATATATCCATTCAAGGAAAGCGTGCCAAGAATATTTTTCATGTAGGAAACAAATATGTACCAATGAGCGTCCGTTGTATAAGTTGCAGCTTGGTGTGAAATTGTGGATTTCTCAGAGGTCCCCAACTGGAATTAAACAGTCCAAATGTTTCCTCAGGATCGTGTTTTCCACCCCTAAGGTAGTAGCTTCCTTGCAGAGCCCAGAGGGCCCAATCAAGATCATTCTCTGCTAACCAACTTATGTAACAAGTCAAGAAATAGTTGTCGGCTGTGTTGTCTCCCATCTGATCACCACCAAATTCAGTAATAAACAGAGGAGCAGGATGTCTTCCCCTGAACAGAAATCCTACTCTATCCTCTACATCCTCGATCATATTTTTACACATCCAGTTCACCGATTTGTTTAACCATAGACCGTCCTGTCCATCGCTGAATGCGTACTGATGTGCTTCGTAGACCATCTTTTTGCCAATCCCCAATTTCAGGGGCTTTGTTTTGAGAAACCTGAAATCCAGATCATAATTCAGACCTGATACAAGTACTAAGACATTTGGATTAGCCCTGTGGATCGTTTTTGCTCCTTCCTCAACCCAGTGATACCAGAGAGTCTCATTCTGGCGTGGACCGCGGAGCTCATTCCTCAAGCTCATCGCCATGACCTGCACCAATTGTGATGGTTAAAAATGCTTTATTTCAAAGATATATTGAGTCAGCAGTAAAATGTGTACAGAAAACCCAAAACAAAACAAAACTAAGAAACAAAATCGAAAAAGAAGTAGGAAAAGGAAAGGGGGCAAAAAAAAAAAAAAAAAAACCATACCATGTGCATATCCTTGTATCTTTTAGCCACTGTAGACAAGGCTCTTAACCATTCATGAGGGTCGAAATACGCATCTCCCCAGAATCCATTCCCATCATTGTCATTGCAACACCACATAGGCTTCCTAACTTGGCAATCAAGTAACACCATTACACCATGGGAGGCAACTGACTCGATAACAGCCTTCTGAGCATCCACAAGTGTGAGGCTTGCAAGTTGAGGATTATGTCTTTGGATTCCGGCGAGGGCATCCGTCAGGTTCAGATCCTGCAGATGCTGAGCCACTGTTACATGTGCATGGCGGGTGTACATGTAGACGGCCCAGGTGAGACGAATGCAGTTGAATCCCAACAAGGAAATGTGCCTAGAAATGTCATCCAAGGGACTTTTACTCAGCCCTTCTGGCAACATGGAGACGTGCCCTTCCCAGTTGGCGCATACGAGCTTCACTCGATCCCCAGTGGACTCGTCTATGATCCATCTGGATCTGGTAGATAAAGGGACTGCATGAGATGAGACTGCAAAGAAAATGAGCACAGTTGCTACAAGAATTTGCATGACTAATTTCCCACACTTGGTTTCTTCCGGCTAAAAAGTGTTTCTTTTTTTCCCCCTTCAATACTCCCAAGCCAAATCCTACTTTTATAGGCGCTATCCAGCTAACTGATAAGATATGATAACCTCATCAAAATGATTTTTGAAGAGTTTCAAAATAACGAGAAACAAAAGAAAAACAGCCGCTATTCAATTTCAGTTTCAACTTTAAAAATTTCAATTTCAAGAAGATTATTATTGGCAACAGCAAAGATTTTATTGTTAGTTATACAGCCATTATCGTTTATCAACAAACTAATTTTGTTTTATCTATACAAATAATGCTTTTAAAAACAAACGAAATCTGGCACACCGAGGAAAGACTATACAACTATTGAACACCAAGGTATGCTACTAGTTCATGAAATGACCATAGAACTAATAAAAAGACTTGCTGCAAACGAAGTTACTCGTCATTTGTCTAGTTAGGCATAACTTTACTCGTATAGTAGAGCATGAAAGTGCGATCATGTAAGTTACTTTCTGTTTTTGCATTAACGATGTGCAAGTAGACGAGGTAAATGTTCATTAAAATTGTTAACATATGTCTACCTAGATAATGGTTTCGATGAGGAGAACTAAACCGTTAGAGGCATTATCATTTAAATCATGTAAAGATCGATGGAGAAACTCTAATTGAAGAAGCTTTACTGGATAGAGATTAAAAAAAAAAAAGGGCAGCTAAGGCATGCATAGCTAATTAAAGATAAAGGGAAATTAACTTAAAATTTCGAAATTCCACTGCACTTGATCTTCCCCATAAGAAATAATGAATAATTTACCAGATAATGATGTAGATAAGGAGAACTAAACCATTAGAGGTGTAAAGATTGATGGAGCTCTTGATCTTTCCCATAAGAAATAATGAATAGTTTCCTAGATAATGATGTAGTTAGAGAGAACTAAACCGTTAGAGGCATCATCCTTCGAATCATTCTAACCATGTAAAGATTGATGGAGAAAGCTTTACTTGATGGAAATAAAAAAAAAAAATAAAATTGGCAACTAAGGCATGTATAGCTAATTAAAGTCAAAGGGAAATTCACTTAAGTTTTTTGAAATTCTAGTGCACTTGATCTTCCCCATAAGAAATTATGATTACAGTTAAAAAGAAGTACGTAAAAGAATGGCAAAATGATTTGATAACAGAAGAGCGCAAAAGATATACAAAAGCAATAAATTCTACTCTAGCAGTTAATTAGTTACTTTGATTCCATTTCAATGAACCTCGTGAAGTTCAAAATAGTTTATTTATAAGAGGTCATGCCATGGACGTTCCATTTCTTGTTAACCATAATCGATCCTTTCCTTGATTATTGTTTAGGGTGCAATTTTTACAAACCCTAATTGAGATTTAGGGCCGATTGTGGTTAACAAGAAATAGAACGTCCATAGCAAGATCCATCTGGTTATTGTCTTGTCATTGATTGTTGCTGTTGGATTATGTGAAAGGAAAAGTTGTAGTTCTCATGGCATGGCACTATATCTTAACCTAATTAATTGTTTCGCTTGGTGCTATATATTCATGCATAGTGCACTGTTCTTGTCGAAAAATGGTGCAAAATAAACTGATAGTTCCATTTCCTGGCAAAATACAATGCAAGTGTTTCCTACATCCTGCATCCATGAGAGCATCGTGGACTGTGGACGGATTGCCCCTTCATGTTGGGTTTTTCATTCGCTAATATCATCTTTGAATCAATTGAAAATGTTGTCGTCTTTCCCATACCATTAGGCAATAAATATTTGCAATAATATACACAGGGCTAGATATGAAGTATCTTGACGACTTGAAGCTTAAGAATCTGAGCTGTTTGAATTTCCAAAGCTCCATCTTAAGTAGGCATTTCACCCCCTTGCTATCTAGCTTTGCACGTAAATTTCTGTACCAAAGAAATCATGCAGAAGGGAAATCATGCTGCATTGTCGTTTATTTTATAACTTGTTACCTCAACCTTCCCGTAGGTGTTCATCTTTGTAGGTGCTGGCCCATTTGCTCGAATTGATAGCGCAAGAACTCCATCCAGCATAAGAAGCAGAAGAAAATGATTAAATATCTGAATATTTATGTTATACTTATGGTAGCTTTGTTTTTTTCCTTTCTTGGTTAGCAGATACTCGTAGTTAGGTATGTCAATGGATCGAATTTTATCCCGATCTAATGTATTTGAATATGATTTAGATTTAATTTCTCAAATTCAAACTCTATCCAGACCCAAATCCTGAGTCTAGGTAGGTTCTAATTTTTTATAGTTTATATTCAAATCCAAACCCATATTAGATCTTGCTCAAACCCATATATATATATATATATATATATATATAATTAAATTATGTATATATATTAGAAAATTTATAAATATTTTAATATTCTATAGTTATTGGATTGAATACAATAAACTTCATGATTTTTTTTTTCAAACTAATTCGAATTGTCATTGTAATTAGTATAAATCTTTTCAGAAAAAGGAGAAAAAATAAAGATAAATAAACGAAAAATTTGACATAGATACAATTGACGTTTTCAAAATAAATAGAAACAGTCAATAGTAGTTTTTTTGTTTTTTTTTTTGAGTTTATGATATTGCATTTAACTTCTTGAAAATTAATTCTGTTATTTGAGAATAAAAATTATATGGTTTTTATATTTTTTTTGAAAACTATATTTTTTACATATTTTTATTTTAGTGCATTTATAAAAATATAACGGATACCCATTGGATACCCAAATTCAGAAGAGTCTGAATTTGAACTTATTTCTTTTAGAGCCTTAAGGGTGTAGGTCTAAATTTGGGTTTAACTAAATTTAACTGAGTCTGGATCAAAGGGATTCAATCCAAACTGTACTCATTGACATGCTTGCCTATAGGTAAGACTATGAAGTTGGGAGTACCTTTCATCTGAAAAATCATCTGCCACTATCACTATCACCATCACCATCCCAAGGGCAAAATCAATCCGGTCCCGATAAAACTCAGGAATCTGAGACATTGCGACTGCATTATCCTATTCCATCAATTAATACTATGGATTGACAAAATAATGTACCTGAAACGATTATACAAAACCTCAAAGGACCTAAGTACCAACGTGCAGTATTTAGTAGTCCCAAAATCCATAACAGAGTGCTTATCCGCAAGCCGAATGTCTACTTGGACTTCCTCTGGTCAGAAACCCGAGCTCCCACAATCTTGCAAACAGGTTCATTTTCAGGCAGAACAAGCTTTAGAGCAGGATGGACTTTGAGGTCACCCATGGATAGCTTCTGGCCGACTTCCAACTCACTCAAATCCAAATCTATATATGGAGGAATGACATCCGGTGGACAGAGGTACTTAACAGTTCTCTTGATGATATTCAAATAAGCCCCTGCCAGAATGATGACACTGTTAAAAAAAAAAAAAAGAAGGTGTTTTGTTCCCAAAGAGTAAATACTCATCAACTTAGATGAGGAAACAGTACAACCTACAGGATGCTAAACTAAAGAAGCAAAGCAATTGAATCAAAACAAATTAGAACAAGAAACCCCGCTTGTGTAAGACAACTGGATGTGAAGAGTAGATTGATGAAACATCAGCGTACCACCAACTATGCCTTACTCTACAAATTCAAAGAAAACACTTACCACTTGCAAACTCAACAATTCTAAGTCTTCTGGAGGGGAATTTAACTTGAGCGAAAAGCAAGAAAAGAAAAAACAGCAATTTAATACTTCTCGGGTACATATATCCACATGAATGTCTAAGCTAGAAATCAGAAATCAGACTTGGTAGAAGGCATATGTCTCAAATGAATAAAAACATTTCACAACTTCACAACTGGAAGACTATGACTGCAAAGATGTTTCATACCTTGCTTCAGACCAGGGCAGACATCCTCTCCTCTGAATACAAGAGGAACATCAACCTTTAAGAGAGCACTTGATGGGGCTCTTATGAAAGTAACATTAAGCACAGCGTCAGTTCCTGAATGCAGGTGAAGCTGACACATAGAAAGACATAGAGTCAAGATACACATAAGTGAAAAGCATTGAACCATATCAAATAAAATACTTGTAGTGCAAAATACACGAAAAAGGATTTGAACCGCGTGAGACTACAAGGCAATTACATAGTCCTAAAATCTTTTAAGGACCAATTTTTGAGTGGATAGTTACTGAGTTAATTAATCACTTCAAACTCACATTTCTTTTTAAGTAGTGAGCATGTATAGCCTAAGGTATATGTGCACAGCATGAAGTATGTAGTAGCAAAGGATGTGTTGCCACAAGAATGCTGCATGCCAGATCTAGGTTGTTACGTATACCCTCAGTGAACGGCCATGGGCATGGAATGCCAATTTGAGGACCAAAATTTGAACCCAAAAACAGAAGGACAATGGTGAAAGCTCCAAATGCAACTTCTGTTTCTATAGGTGAATTTTCAATGAAATTGATAAACTTCCATCAGGCCATTCAACTTCCCTCCTCTGTCATCCAGATCCCAAAAGCTTAAGCTAAAGACTCCAAGATCTCACTTATGCTTTCAGTGGCATGTATTTGTAGCTTGAAATCACAATCAGAGAATCTCAATTCAATATAAATTTTCTTTTCCTTTTGTTAATTAAAATGACTGAATAACAGACACCCCAGACTCAACCAAGTCTGCTTTCCATCCAACATTATCCACAACGACAATTGCAGACCTGCAATCCAAATATCATAAGCATTTTTCACCCCTATGGTCTTCTATTATTCTCCTAAAGAGTCAAAAAATAACCTGCACTTCGCACAGCTATTTCTTCCCCGATCCTCATATAAGAATTAGCAAGTGCAATTGCTAGAATTCTTCCAGGAAGCATTGTCTTTCCTAACTTCAAAATATAAACTTGTTGAACGTCAACCAAACCAATTACAGAATAACATAATTATCACCATTTAAACCATAGTTAGCAGTAATGCCACCATCTACCAATCCCCAAATACAATTCCTTTCAAAATTAGTTTATGTATTATACAACAAATATTATTAAGCTTCTTATAGTTATACTATAATCTCAGCTAAAGTATCCACAAATTACCTAGTTTTTCTTTTACGAAAAAAAATGCCACAAAAGTCGTTTCTTTAACTAACTTCACGAAATATGGAAAATACAATGCAGAATCTGCCTATAGACAACTAAACGACAAGACATGACATACCAATCTGGGCAAGACCCGAACTTTCTCAATTACTTCCTCGGACTCGAATTCTGGTCGGACCTCAAGATCATACACCCTTGAGAGGAAAAATGACCGACCCATTTGATTAACTAGCTTCTTGATCTGATTGTTTTGTACAGAGATAAGCCTTTTGTTGCCTCCGTGCTGCCCATCTTCTTGCTCGAATACTATGCTGGGAACCCGACCAACTTTTCTTTCTTTAGCACTAATGATCTTTCCGCTCTTGGCCCGTGGGATAGCGTGGATGGTCTCTGCATATTTGGGGTCGGGTTTTGGGAATCCCGGAAGATATTCGAGTGGCGGTGTGGAGGGAGCTTCGACCCGTTCTTGGAGAAGTGGAGCCAGGCTGAAGTAGCGGAGGTGGTGCTGGAGGATTCTGACCACCGCCGGTGACTTTTGGACCAGCATTTGGATTTCTGGGTCGGTTTTCCTACAGAAAATGATGATAAAAAATTGGAAAAAGGAATTTGTATTTTGTAGAGTTAGGATGAAGGAGGGCTTTAGGAGGGTTCTGACTTCTGACTGAGACAATTGGAGAATTGGTGATGGAGAATATTGCACGAAATTACTTTTGGGTTATTGGTCCGGGGTTCTGCCTTTTTTGGGACATTACAAATGGGCTGTCTTTTGGAGTCATGACGGTGAAAAGTGGTTGGTTTTATGAACTTTGGGCTACTTGTACACTCGTGTCACTGAGCTTAAACAGGATTTGTATTGGCCCAAAAAAGTGGTGTCCCCAAAAGCCATCAGTCTCTATTTTGACTTTTTAAACTCGCCCGGTTTCTCCTCTAACTTTCTAAGGTTTGGGGTCTCTCATTGGGCCCCGAAAAAAAAATTGGGGGGGGGGGGGTCCAAAAATTAAAATTAAGGAGCAGTTTGGTAAAATGCGAAGAACCACAAAAAATCATTGGTGAAATTAGGTGTTTTGTTTATTTTGGTCATGAAATTATTTATTTTTCCACTTAATTGTCGCTATGACTTGAAAATGTATTGAAAGTGTCGAATGCTCCTTATCCTTTTTCGTTTCTTAAATTTCGTCCGTCCCCCTTACTAATTTTTTTAATAGAAAAAGGTATAAAAAAATGTGGATGTGATATGTGTCTGATTGGCACCAAAAAGAAAAAGAAAAAGGATAAAAAAAAAAGTTTGCTTTAAAAGTGTGTGATTCTATTGTTCTTTCTCGTTGTTTGGCAGTGGTTAACAAACAAAGACACTAAAATGAAGGATTGCACTTAACCTCCAAAGAAATTGAGAAGACTGATCTCACTCTCTCTCATTTACTATCTTTTATCCTGAGTTGTCCTTTTTCTCTTGCTTTCTTTCTAGAAACTCGAAAACAATTTTGTGTAAGACCGATTTGGAGGGTACAGATTGATCATTTAGTTGTTGTTTGGCATGTCCTGTCTCTTCTCCAAATGGATGAATATGTAAATGATCACATTCTCAGGCATAATTGTGAAGCTGGCCCTCATATTTCATGAATGGCAGTTTGCCACGAGAAATGGGTCAGAATAAACGAAAAGAAAATGATAATAATAATTAAATAAGACCCAAAAAAAAAAAAAAGACGAACAAACAAACGATCGCCAGTGGGACGACCGGGGTCCCACCTAGTGGGGATTCTTAGAAGATTCACACATAAATTAACCAGTGCAACAATATACGTGGAAGGTAGCCCATGCACGCAATAACTTGTCATTCTTCTCCTCCTTAATTGCTAAGGCTCATGTTGGGTCTGTTTGGATTGTGTTTTATTTGGAATATTTTTACTGTAGCACTTTTTGTGATATGATGTGTGTGAGATAAAAAGGTAATTGGGAAGATAAAAAGGTGTATTGAAAATTGTAATGATGATGTAAGCAGATAAAATTGGGGAAATAAAACACAATCCAAATTGCTACTTTTAGGGTTTATTTATAGAGAAATATATCGTAATGATTTAATATATATACTCCTTTCGTCCTACTTTGATAGTTCTATTTTCCTTTTTCGTCTGTCCCAAATTATAGTTCATTTTTCAATTGAAGAATGTAGTTGTATTTTAATTTTTTTAAAATACCCTTATTCAATGTAAGTTGTTGTTACTATAAACCTACCCCATTTAATAAGAGTTGATTCTTTTTTTACCATTAATTCAAGTTTCCATAAAAGTTGTACTCTAATTAATGTGAGGGTATTTTAGAAAAATAGCTACCTAAATTGATTGGTCTAACAAAGTTAATTACTTTTTCTTAAACTGTGTGAAAAAAATCAGGACTATCAAAGTGGGACGGAAGGAGTATATAATAAAAAAAATTATTTTTATAATTTTCTATGTAAAAAACAACAATCCAAACGTAAAAACTGCGTACTGATAGTCTGTTTTGATCCCATATCTACCTGATTTGTTGTGTAAATGAATATGCTTACGTTTATACATTTATTACATCCTTTAAATTTAGGCACATTTTAAATTAATTACACCCTTGCAACAAATAAGCATTCTTAGCAAGCGCACAATGAACACTTGTTAGCCAAAGTATGAATTAAAACCAACCCATACCAATAGAGAGTTTTACATTCAAGATGATGGGGTTCAAACATTCGAATTAGCTTTTTTTTTTTTTTTTTTTTAAATAAAATTAGATTGATAAAGTATATACATGTAAAAGAGGATGCTAGTTGTTGGGATGTGCATGTACATAGTGAGTTTAATGGGATCCGTTGGAAAAGCCTTCAGACTTTTATAGTACATCTTCTATCCATTACACTAGAATAGAGGACCTTCACAATTTCCATTACGTTCCTTAATCAGCACCCTCGAGTCGAGCTTCGAGTAAGTTCGGAACCAATCGGCAAAGCTTCACCTCAAATCAGACAACGTAATCTCAAGGGCCCAGATTCATTTTCATTCACTAGTCGCCACCAACGAAATTACTACCCGTAGTCCCCGTCTCTCTTATCTTAATCACCAAGTCTTTTCACAGCCAGAGCCCAGACCCCTCCCTCCTCGTATATAATAATAATAGTACGTTCGTAAAAATCCCCTTCATTTCTCCCTTCTTCACCCTTTTTCCTCCAAAACCTCTGCCCTCATCCAGTTCACAATCCGGATTTCTCTGTATTTACTATTCTTAGGCTATATTTGCTCTGGGATCTTCACAGATATATCGTGTATATATATATATATATATTGTGGGTTTTACCTTTTTCTTTTTTCTGGAAAAGACAAGCAAGGAAGTAAGGATGGCCGATCATCATCATGAGGAGGATGCAAAGGCGGAATCTTTGATTGAGAAAACTAGGGACAAAGTTCATGGTGCTGATGATTCTTCTTCGTCTTCTTCCGACGACGAAGGCAAAACCTCATCGTTGAAGGCTAAGGTTTTTCGCCTCTTCGGAAGAGAGAAGCCCGTTCACAAGCTCCTTGGTGGGGGCAAACGTACGTTATTTCTTTCGTCCCTTCTTCATAGTCTTACCAATTCCCCATCCTCTTCCTTCCTCCTTTTGCCTTAATTTACTGTCACTATAGTAATATCATAACATCAACTGCTTTGTTTTCGGTGAAGTCATTTTTTTTACCTTCGTGGGATTTGGTGTCGGAAATGAAATTGTTACTTCCTCTGTTCTTAGTTGGTTAAGATGTAGCTCAGATGGGCAAATTGTTTTCCCATTTTGGGTTTTGTGATGTTTTTTTTGTGTTAATTTTAGCGTGTGAAATCTTTATTTACTATGTTGATTTTCATGTTTTGCAAACTGTACTTCTTTTGTAACTTATCGAGTTTTTGGTAATTAGAGGGCGCTGATGATTCGGAATTTTGATTGTGTGTTATGGATCCGGATCTGTTCAAGTGCGGTACTAATTTGTTGTACCAGGATACTTTGGAAAAGATGTTGCCTTTTTTCGAGTTATCTGTTTATTTGTATTCATGATCATCTGGATTGGAGTCGTTTATAGAAAAGTTAAACTTTTTCGACCTCATAAAGCTTGGCTGGTGCTCGTCTTTTTCTTTTGAAGTTGAGATTGTCAACTAGATAAAAGTTTCTCTAATCATTTAAGCTTTTTTAATGGGTTGTCATTTTTTAACATAGATATTGGCTAATGGCAATTTAAAAAAACAAAAAGGAGATTGGGAAATGTTATCTGATGCATATTGATGGTGATTATAATAGTACATGTTCTTTTCCGTGCAGCTGCTGATGTGTTTATGTGGAGGAACAAACAGATATCAGCAGGAGTACTAGGTGTTGCCACTGCTATCTGGGTTCTGTTTGAAATTCTGGAATACCATTTGCTCACATTAGTTTGCCATGGTTTAATTATTGTACTGGCTGTGTTATTTTTGTGGTCCAATGCGAGCACCTTCATCAACAAGTAAGAGAATCATAGTGAAGATTCCTTTTTTTTTTTTCACCCCCTCTCCGTCTTTCTTGCACATGGTAGTTTCTGAGCGCGGAAATTTTTTTTTTGGTTGTCTTCTTAACTAGATCTCCACCTCGCATTCCTGAAGTTTCTGTTCCTGAGAAGCCGGTTTTACAGTTTGCATCTGATGCAAGGGTCGCGATCAACCAGACTTTTGCACTTTTGAGGGATGTTGCATCAGGAAGGGATCTGAAGAAGTTTCTGTCTGTACGGTTTTTCCTATCTCATATGAAATATAGCCAGCCTGATGGTTTTTATAGTGGTCTCTTTATATCTGTTGTGCCCATTGAATGCACTTTCAAAATTACTAGGCTATGTTACAATGGGATGATAAGATTTGTCTTTGTTATGAAACATATGAAAATTTATATGTTTTTGGTACCAAAATAGTTTTGGGTCCTCAGCCTACGGTTTTGGCATTCTTATTTCCAATTGTTGACAACTCTTGCTGAATTTCGTTGCTGAAAAATCAGGTGATTGCTGGCTTGTGGATCTTTTCCATTCTGGGCAGTTGCTGTGATTTCTTGACCTTGCTTTACATATGTAATGTCCTTAAACCCTTCATCATTACTGATGACTGACATAAATGTTTGGGTCTAATGATATGCTGTTGATGATGATTTTGGAAGCAGCTGCTGTGCTGCTTCACACAGTTCCTGTGATTTATGACAAATACGAGGATCAGGTGGACTCGTTTGCTGAGAAAGCTTTGGCGGAGCTCAAGAAACAGTACGCTGTGTTTGATAAAAAGGTGCTGAGTAAAATCCCAAGGGGACCATTGAAAGACAAGAAGACGGATTAAATTTAAAAGACTGATCTTGTGGCTGTTAGTTCTGATGAGAGATTTGATGGTGGTGTAATAGCCTAATGGGGCGTGTCCATAGCTTGTTAATTATGCACTCAATAGTTGAAAATCCTGCTTTAATCGTGTCTTTATTTTGGGTGGTTGGCCTCAAAACCATGACCGCAGTTTGAGTGGGTCTGTACATGCATCATATGCCACACTCACACGCTTATTTAAAAATGTTCATCTGAATTCATGCTTATTATTGTTGCTTATTATTGTTGTTGGGTGAGTGCACAGGTCTCAAATCAGGCTGGCTGTTCGTTGGGCGGGGTGCATGTAACGCTCTTACGGATTTGGGGCAGGGACGGTCATCAGCATGACCGTCCCTGCACGGTTAAGGGCCAAGATTGGCCCTCACAATTTTGTGCGGCTGAGATTACATCATGTAACTCGATTTTCGCATCAAGTGTGGGATCCATCACTATCTGTTGTGAAAATACATCCTGTGAAAAAAAAGTTACACGATGTACAAAGAAAGTTACGACCAGTTGATAATGACTACAATTGGCAGGGACGGTTGCATACTGACAAGAACTAGGCACCCGCGAAGAATGTAATATTGACTCCTAGCGCCCCCCCCCCCCTCTCCGGTATGGATACATCATAGGTTCGCAATAATATCACCAATCTGTAGTTTGCGCTCCTCTGCATTCGACAGCCGTTTCCCTTGAGAACTCTGCATTCGAGAACTCTGCACGCGGATTGAAGCAATCAATAGTAAAACCAGAAATACGATCGAGTTATCAAACAGACTAGTTTGTGTTTGATGGCATTCAACTCTTATTAATCTTCTTTTCTTTTCTTTATTTCTTTCTTTGGTAAAAGCACTTCATTTCATTCTGTCCCTAAACCTGTGAAAAGTAGACGCTACTATCATCATCACGCTACGTGTCCGTACTGTAGCTTGCTGATAGAAATAAGGTCAGTTGAACATCATTGAAAGGAAATGTCGGCCTGCATCAGTTCCGCAATTTGTTAGCTGGTCCACGTTCGAACAACGACCGACTCTGCAAACTTTCTGATAAGAAAAGGTTGTGTTCTATCTATAACAAATCTGAGTAATTATCAGTTACAAAACATTTTATATAGCTTGTGTAATAACTGTTTAATTTCCTCCGAAGCATGCCATGTAATAACCTTAATCAGTTCCACAGAACTGTTGTCTAACTAGGCAAACTATCTAAATATTGACTCACTCGAGTGATTACAATGCTGCTTTCTAGCAAATTAAAAGAGCTAACTTTATCTTATTCAGCAGCTTTGCAGCCATCCTCAAACTCACACCTTTCACATCTAGATTGGTTACGCCTTTGCACCATAAATTAGCATGCTTGAGTAACCAACTCCGTGTCTATGCCTACAAGAAGTACGATAATTGCTCTGTTGTCTTCCTTGAACCACCTTCCCCGTACAATTCATTCCATTGCCTCAGCTCTGTCATTATGGGTCCCTCGGCTGCAAAGCTAGCGGCAACCTATAACAGAAGTACGTAGCGTTACTCAAGAACAACACCATCAGCGTAAAAGTAACATCCCATAAAAAGAGTCATAAATTCGAATGCACTCATTTACCTGGTTTTTAGCTTCCTTGAAATCTTCCATGTTCAACGGCCTGATAGTAATTACCCTTTCTTCTTTACCTTCTTCTGTAGAGGTAGCGCCTTCGCAATTTACACGTTGTTCCTCTCCAAGCTTCTTCTCCTGCATCAATTGGAAGCTATTAATAACCTATTACTTGAAAAATTGGCTGACTGGGCATTAAACAAAACGCAGCTTACAGATAAAAACAGATTATGTACTCACCAGGTTCTTTAGGCATTCCTGGTGTATTAACTCTCTTACTGGCCGATAAGCAGCAGTTGTGCAGAAGTTCTGTTTCAGATCATTTATTTCAGTTTAGATAGTGAATAATGTCAAGCACGCCAAATATATGAGGTATGCTCACTTTTCAAAATGAAAAAAAAAAAAAAGGAAGGTTTGCTCACAATCATAGGAACCTCCCCTAAGGTTTTCCAAATTACACTAAACATGAGATAACTGTGAGAGTATAGTCCTCATCTCGATGGCACGATGGCCACCTCTTTCCGCAATTCCAGATTAAGCAATTTGAGGACATCAATATAGTTTCAAACAATTCAAGAAACACACCACTTTAATTATGATAAGCTTCTGAGAAAGTAAATGTAATAATCTAGCCAAAGCAGGACCTTTAGATCACTTCCGCTGTATCCTTCTGTCATGGCTGCAAGCTCCTTGAAATCTAAGCTTTCATCAACACACTCCTTCGAGAGGAGAGTTTTTAGTATCATTTCTCTATTCTCCACAGATGGTAGACCAACCATGATCCTGCTCCCCCACCACCAATAGAGAAAAAGAGATAAAAGAAGAGAGAGAGAGAAAACATTTTTCGTCAGACACAAATCAAATCACTGCTGAGGACTGAAACGTGCATAAGATTAAGTCATTCACCGATGACACAAATTTTTGTGCAACCAGAAAACGGTGCTCAATGCTACTAGTGTTAGGTAAAAGAAAATGGTAAAAGCAGCAAGTACCTTCTCTCAAAACGTCTAATGATTGCTTCATCCAGATCAAATGGCCTGTTTGTTGCAGCAAGAACAAGAATTCTCTCACCTGATTTTGTCATTAATCCATCCCAATGGGTCATGAACTCATTTTTTATTTTCCGCATGGCTTCATGTTCCCCAGCTCTTGATCGCTGTCCAAGCATGCTATCAACTTCATCCACAAATATTATAGTTGGAGAAACCTTAGCTGCAAGAGTGAACAAGGCCCTAACATTCTTCTCATCTTCACCAAACCATTTGGATGTAATGGTAGACATGGAGGCATTAATAAAGCTTGCTCCGGCTTCCCTGGCAATGGCCTTGGCCAACATAGTCTTTCCTGTACCAGGGGGTCCAAACAACAATATTCCTCTGCATGGCTTTAAGATGCCACCCTTAAAAAGGTCAGGCCGTCTGAGAGGGAGCATCACTAATTCTTGAAGAGATCGTTTAATTTCTTCCAAGGCACCAATGTCCTCAAATGTCACATTTATTTCACTTGCAGGTATCACTTCTGGCCTTATGCGCTTTTCAAATTCATTGTCAGGAGGAACTTCCTGTAAAATTGAACAAAAAAACCTGTAAGCTTCAACAGTTGAGGTATAGAAATTTTGCAAAAGGCACCCCCCTGTCGCAGGGTTTGACAACATCCAAGACTCTTTTTTAACTTTTCCATCATTTGGATCAACGTAAGCCAATTGCCATTTGATTCGAGAAATTCTGTCATACTAATACCATCTGCTGCATAGACGTCTGATAGCTGGTTGGCCCAACATTTCATTCTGTTTTACTTTGCCAAAAATGGTATCATTTAGTTTAGACAACCCCACATTTAGTCCTCAACAACAAATGATCACATTAGTCAAAGTTGAGTTGTTTAACTGGGGTATTCTTTCTTTGGATAATAGAAATATCACTTCACTCACTGGAGCTTTAGAAGCTGAGTCCGAAGCATCACCATCCTTTGCAGTTGTAACTGTTGCTTCAGTATCAGTTTTGCTTCCGGGCTTTGCTTCTGCAATTGCATTGACACCCCCTCCATTCTGTACATCATTTATGAGAGAGCATCAGCATACATGAATTCAATTAGTCCAACAACAAATAACACCAACCAAATACAAACCTTTGGCATTTCAGCTTGGGCTTCAAGCTTTAAAGTGTCCTTTCCAGCAGATTTACCTTCCTGAAATATGCTCGATCCATGGGACAAACTAAAGCATGACAAACAGCAAGTCAGCGGAAGTCTAATACAAAGACAACCGCAAAAGGTAAAATAACATAATAGAACCAGAAGGCTGAAGTGACCTCGAAGAAGAAATAACAAGTTTTCCATTTCTGTACTCAGGATCTTTGGTATGCATGAGATGGTAAGAGATTGCTGATACCACAATTTCTTCTACATAATTACTGAGGACCATTGTGTCTGCCATCCGAAGTGAACCAAGATCATCACACATAATGTCATTAGCTGCAAGTACTTCAACAATGTGGTTCTTAGTATCTTGGTATTGGATCATTTTCATATCCTCCTCCAGCTGGGAATTCCAATTTACAAGATGTGTTTCATCCTCTGGGGCTTTAATTTCAATATTGTAAGGGAATACAGAAGAAAGCCTTTCATCCAATTCTCTATAGTCACTACTAGCATCTACAATTCTTGAACCAATGATCAACACTGATCCACTCAATCTTTTCAACATTTTCTGGAACAAGACATACACTCTTTCTGACCTACAAAGCAGCATCTCCACATCCCTGAGATAGAGGATGATAGGATGGCTCTTTGAGACTTTGGCCAACACCTATTTATAAAGACAAAATTGGACAGCAATCAGCATATTTATAAAGGGATTAAGTAATCTTTCTTGAGCAAAACCATTTATATAATTGAGCACAAAAGTTGGTCAAACTTAAAATACAGAATTAATTGAAGTGTAGGACCTTGTATAGTGTCTGTATAAGAAGTTTATCATCAAAAGACCAACCGCTTGTCCGCTTGAGAGGAGCTGCAAAAAGAGTTCCAGAATTAACAAGCAAAAAGAACAAAAGCAGTACTTTGTGCTACTTTAAGCATATAGGTGCACGTTATATGAACGTTAGCATACTCAACTGGAAATCCTAATCAGCATTGTGATAGAAGTAAAAAGGTAAAACCTAGAGCTAATATCTTAGATTGCTCCATAGCATTAAAGATTATTATTTTGCATACAACTGATAAACAGACAGGTCGGTTGAAAAACATCTCGGAATCAGAAGCATGTTTAGAGGTGCCATGATAACATACCTGCTCGTGCTTGCTCACTCACACAATTTGGAGTTTTCCAACATGACATTTTGCACAAGAATATGGAGATCATCTAAATCTAAGCAGTGACAGCAATAGTCTAGAAGCCAAATCTTATAACAGCTAAGCATCAATTGTATAAATGTTATTATAACAACTATAGAAAAATTAGAAAAAACCTGGTATCACAGATGATGTATTTGAAGTAAGACTACTCATGTTAGCAGAAGCAGATGCATTTCTACGCAATTTTGGAACATTAAGTGACCCTTCGGTTCCCCTGCACACAAAGGCAGAAGCAAAAATATGAAAGACGAACACGAGGCAAATTCCATTAGTCCAATATTTTCAAATCTGAGGATCAACTACGGACATACTTTGATTCAATATCTACCCCGCTGCTCTGTCTACGTAACGTTCCTGCAACACCAAAGAAGTACTGAATCTTAAGAGAGAACAAAGACAAACAAAAATGAAAATGAATCAACCAATGAACACGTTCAAGTATCAATGCTACAGAATGTCAAGAAAAATGAAAAAGGAAAAAAATACAGAACCACCAGAGGAATTGGAAAGGGGAACAAACATGCAGGGCACTCCGAATTCTCAAAAGTACAGATGCCTCTCAAACGCAAGGAAAAACTGAAAAGAATTACTATCACATGCGGTTGCAGAGGAACAGTTGCATGTAAACACACATACACTCTAAAGGGCCATGAGCTTAAAAAATTATTATTAATATCCAAAATAGTAAATAATGGTTTCTATACTCAATAATAACATTTTGGCATCAATAAGTAATACAGTAAACAGCTGGCCAAGTACTTCAGTATGCAGGAGATTGGAATCAAACTAAACCACATTTTTTTGGTCAGTTCCACAACACAGTTAAAAGAATTCTAAAATCATCCAATATAAAACTAAAACTTAATCCATGTCAAGCATCATAGAAGTGACTGTGCAGTGAAATAATTTTTGAATAACATTTTCCAAATAAAAAAACAATGATATGTAATCACATGTGATTAAATGAGGATGAAATACCACGCAGTCAAGATAGTGTATGATGAATGATGATTTGTTTAATTTTTTATTTTTTAAATGAAAGATGATGAAGCCACCTGCAAGATCAACCAAAACTACTTGCTTTACCATATCTGCAGCCTATTAGTATGCCATTTGAAGAAGCTTCTTTCACATAAACCAGTAAAACGAAAGGCACAAGGCATAGGAATTGTACAACTGAAAACATAACAAAGGAAGTTCTAGATGATCTCCTTCGGAAGGCTGGTCTAAATCCACATCTATAAAAGCAAAACTAACATAAGCTTTTCTTTTATTGTGCTCACTCAAAACAGAAAAAATGACACTTAAACAGTATAAGTGAAATTTTAAGTGAAAGGATGTAGCAACTAAAAAATGAATCTGCAAGATGAGAAAGATATAAAGGCAAAACAGGCTGCTTAGTTCAAAAGGTTTCGTTTGGTGATGCTAAAAAGAGGGGTCACTATGAACTAAATTTACGCTATGATGATGCAGATGATTGAGTGAAAGAAGCAAAGTCTAGGGAATTAACACCAGTTATGCATTAGAAAAACCCTAGCAATAAACTGTGGATATCCAAGAAAAATTCAGCTTCATGAAATATTAGAAAGAACCAGACAATTTCGTACCTTTGTATTCTTCCTTGGGTTGAAGTATTGAAAATGATCCAAACAAATCAGATACTCGGCCCAAAGTCGCTTCAGATATAGACCTTTTGAAAGACTGAAAAATAAGGTATGAATATTATGAAGCTTTATAGTTAAACTTTCAGGGACAAAAGCATTTAGAACAGAAAATACCACATTAAAGTAGTGCATGCTATAAAATATAATAAACAAGCTGTCAGGCTAGACTTACAGTTTCCTTACTGGTGCACCCGTATTTGCTCTGAATCTGTAAGGCACCAAGAAGTAATGACATGAATAAATTAAGAACAGCTTAGACCAAAGCAGATGAAATGCCGCCATAACATGTACGAGGGATGTATGTTTATTAATAATCAAGCATAACTGCATCGTTTTATGCATAAGTGCATGTTTATCATAGTTTTTGCTAGCAAATTGATGACATGATGGGGTTTGTCCATTCTTTTCCTTAAAAAAACCAATGGTAATTTTCAAGCTGAGACAACTCACCTTGAGAGAGAAGTCGGTTACGTCTAATAGCAACAACTTGGCCTCAAAGTAATGAGCCAAAGCCTTCGCAAGCATCTGCTGGTAAGTTTCTGAGAAACATGAATGCAACAATTATGCCATCCAAAGATTAGAATACCGTGGAGGTCGAACAAAATGGGACTGTTTTAGATAACTAACCAGCAGGTCCCGAAAGCAATATTCTACGACTTGCAGGAGAAAGATTCCTTGCGTGTTTATGAAATTCAGCTTTCTTCAAATGAAAAAAGGCTGCACTTGTTAGCAAAACTCTTGTCTGCTCACTGTCATAACCAGTAAAAGCAATTTAGTGCTGCAGTAAATAATACAATGTAGCTACTTGTAGCAGAGGGAATAAGCATAGGAAAAGGTGCATCCCTCCTAAGAACTTGCAGTCAACAACTAGAACAGCTTGAATAATCAAGTCTATGCCAATATGGTAGCCTAACCATTCCATTTAGAGGAAGTTCAGCACATCATCCATTCAGGATTTTCAGTTCACCATCTAGTCATGAAAGAGACTCAGAACAAGAGTCGACATGGCGAGACAAGATGAGAACTTTGCTAGTGTATGCAACACATTTAAAAGATATTGGGCTTTCTTCCTAATTCTAATCTATTTCAGTGAGATTCTGCAGAAAAAATTTAGGCCTTCTCTTCTTTCATCATGAGAGAATCAACAGATCAAAAGTCACATTCTTCTCAACAAGACGCTAAATGAAGGAACATGGAGGCGGAATTTCTTTTTGACCTATTAAAAGTCCTTAAAATTGTGCACACAAACATATGATATAAAAACCATCACTAAATTACGGCAACTAAGATGATAAACATTATGTGCAGCAAACTATCTTCAAAACATTTTCTTTTTTGTTTTCATATGGCTAAAATTTTTATTACAAGTGACACTAGTGACCCCAACAAAAGAAAAAAAAAATAGAAAAACGTCAACGAGGACTCCAAACACTAGGCAAGCAAAGAAACTAAATCTTTTGACAAAGAAAAATTATTGTAGTAATAAGAAGATGGCAGTGGTCAATCAAGACAAGTACATCAACCAGCATATAAGAAAACCACTGACACCAACACCACTGCACTGCCATCCTAACCAGATATGAGATATAAAACTGCCATCCAGAAATGGCTGAGGCGCACAATAGAAATAGTCAACACATAAAACACTTCTGTTGTGGAGATCTTGGAATTATGAAATGCGATTTTAAATTAACATTTCCAGAAAATTCACTAACACAAAAAGAATGTAGAAATGGAAAACAATAACAGAATAAGAAAGTACTAGTAATCAATTGCATAAGCCCTGTCTACCTAAGATAGTAAGGGAATTGATCAAAGGTGACTTTGCTATCTTTGCCATCAACCAAAACATTCATCATCTCTTTCTCCATAACCTGTGGGGTGAGGCCGTTGGAAGAGGAGCCACCACCGGTCCACTTGCTAACAGTCTGTCCAGAGGCCAATCCTATCCCTACTCCTATTCCCACACTCAATGCTGACATCATTATATGCTTAGACTCCATTTTTTTTTCCTTTTGGTTTTTTAATAATCCAAACGCAGATAAACCAAAATCACTTCAATTTATGGGAAAAGAAAGAGGATATGATTAAATTTCACGAACAAAAGAGGTACCGAGGAAACAGAGCAACACAGGTAGAAACGATAATTTTTTAAAAAAAATTTAAGAAAAAGGAAGAAATGAGCAGATTCTAATTTCTATAACATGTAAATGTGAAACTTTCCGTGATCTCAACCGATTTCAATAGAAACTGGAAGCAACAGCAGTGAACATTGTCCAAACGGTACAGAATTTTTATCAAACCAAAAAATTCAAAAGATAAAAGAATAAACAATTAAAAAAAGAGAGCTTGAATAAGAAATTAGAATGGAAAAACGGTTTCTTTTGACACGAAAATTATCTTCTGAATTCAAAACCGAAACCAAACACCTCCGATCTCCATCTCACTCTCAGTGGGTGACTGTTTGTCCCTGAGTGGTGGCTGTTGGCCTTTTTATCTTAATGAGTTTTTCTTCTTTCCTTCTGTTTCTCCCTCACAAACTCTTCGAAATGCTTGGTTAGCGTTTTTTCCTTCTGTTATGGTGGTGGATTCAGTGGGAAAAGTTGTAGAAAATTTTCAAGGCAGCAAACAAGAGAAAGGGAGATATCTGTGAGTGGAACTAATTAGTGATTGAGAGAGTAAAAGCAGAAATTTTCTCTCTTTTTTTGACATTTCCTATTATTGTTGATGCGAAGAAATGGCGGAGAAACGGTGGTCCAAAGGGTGGAGAAATGAAGGGAGGAATGGAGGCACAGGTGGAAGCTTGTCACAGACACGAGAGAGGGGAGAGAGGAGTTGGTTACGTTATGGTCCTAAGTAACTCCCAAGTCGGTTGGTTCCCGCCTTTTCAGGTCCTGGCGTACCGGCATTTTTAAAAGTGCGCAAAGCCGCAAAAGTACACATTTTTAAATGTGTACTTGTCCAGTGCGCAATGCAACCTCACAGTAGCGTAACCATTACTAGTTCCGTCGGTTGGTTGAGATGTTTTCTTCCTGGTAGCTACAGTCATCCTCATGTAGTGGCGATGCACACAGAAAATTGCCCGTCGCCTGATACGCCGATCTGCTTATCCAATCAGGATTTGGTAGTAAAAGGTCGTGCAGAAGAGAGGACTGGTTTTACCAGAACGGGCCTTTGAAAATTGAAGTACAACCGAGTGACGTTTTTGGCCCTTATCCTTTCAACAACTGGGACAGAAAATATCTTTCTATTTTTGGCTAGTGTACGCTACTGGTTTTGGATAATATTTTATTTGATCGACTCTCTCAGGAATTTGTTGAAGTCCGTTCAAAATCACAATGAAAATGTATTTCTTTTTTTTTTTTTTTTTGGGTTCCATGTTGATGGCTGCTTCAAGTTGGCGAGGTCAGTGCCACCCCCACCAGGCATTGAGTACATGTAACACAGGACGAAAACAAAGCAGCATTCATAGTATTCCGATCATGATGGTTCTAACAAAAACGCAGTGAGAGTAGTTCGACATCAATAATCAAACGTGAAATATAGTTGATAGTTTATGCAAATATACTGTAACCATTCGACGCTAGAAGGCTATTGAACCAGCTGCATCAACGAATCACGCACGCGATAGATTGACAATTGCAGATTCCCTAGGCTGGCCTTCCATCTTGCACTGCTCCTGGAGTAGGGCTGCACCAAGCACTGAGCTCCAGCCGAGTGTTAAAACATTTGAGTCGAATTCGAGTATCTATTTGTTAGACTCGATTACTCAAAGAGCCGCTCGAAAAGCTGGAGTTGAAAAATGCTCCTATATCAATTAAAATCGAGCTGATTTCGAACTCCTTGCGAGCCAAAATATTAAGCTGACATCTCGAGCTAGAAATTGAGCCAAACTCGCGAGTCAGAAACAAATCAAGTTTGAATTTTTCTTTTCTTAAATCGAGTCGACCTCTAGTTTCATTTTTTTTTTTTACTCGATGAGCTCGCACATTAACAATTTCAAATTGACTCGTTTGCAGTTCTATCCTGGAGTCACAAGTCACGACTACATTCTCTTCTTTTTTTTTTTTTGGTTGAAAAGCAACGCAAAAAGATAAATTTTGTTCACTTCTACTGTTTTTTTTTGGTTGCCTGCCACGGTATCCAGGGCTTTGCCCTGACTAATCCGTTGGTCGACCCGGGTCGCACACCTGGCTATGGTGGGTGAGTCTCCCAACAAGGGTAGCTGCATACACCAGGTTTCGAACCCGAGACCTGCTTAAGCGGAACCAAGCTGCTTACCACTTGGCCCAACCCCAGTTGGTCACTTCTACTGTTTGACAATGCATAAGCGACGTCAAGGTATATTATATTGGATACTCTCACAACAGGCACGGTTCCACACGTAATGTAAAAGTGCTATGCGTGCCTTGGGCTGTAAATGATGAATTCTTGAATTTTGACTTGTATACATGCATATTGAGTTTGAAAGGAATTTCAGGGCCAAAAACCATTGGCGGTTTCATCTCTTTGTAGTATAATGCTACCAATTTTTGTTCCTTGACAGGTAGAATTTGACAAGCTAATTAACAATAAATTAAATGCGGATCGACAAGAAGCTGTAAACTGAATGGCTACTGGAATGCACAACCGAGTAGGGAGGGACGACAAGGAGATGTTGGATGCGATTCTTTCATAAAGTTAGTGTCACCACAATCCGTTGCTGTCAAGATGGCCGAGTGGTCCAAGGCGCCATGCTTGTGAGAGGGGGTGTGGGTTCAAATCCCACTTCTGACAAGTTTCTTCTTACCTTCTTAGCTAAGTCCGCCCCATGCGAACGAACGAATCAATGACACTGCCTCCATTTCATCCCTCTCGCTCAATTCTATGGTGTTTTCTTAATTAGTCAGCTACTGTAGTAATTGCCATAGCAGTTTTAGCCTGTCCAAAATTTTTAGTACGCCGGCTTCGATTCACATTCTCCTGATCTTCACAAGCTGGCATATAACAGCGTCCCTATTTGTAATACAACCCGCATACATATCGCATAATCTGCTTTTCAGCAGTAGCACCCAAATTAACTCTTCAAAGCCCAAAGAAACAAAACAATCCTCATTCTGTGCTCAATTCAATATGAGAGTGAGACAGAGAGTGATATAAATTGAAGACATGAAATTTTATTTCATCAAATCTAAGAATACAAACCCATTCCACAAACTATGCAAGAGAATTGATGGTAGTAGACTCCTAGACCGTGCATAAATTACACCCATCACAACCCCTAGAAAAATTAGTGGCAACATTCTCTGTACATTAAAATGTGCTAAAGCAAAAGCAACAGAACTCATTAGGACTGAACACCAGACGGGCATGTATTTAGTCAAGGAAGGCAGAAGGAAACCACGAAACACAATTTCTTCCCACAACGGAGCACACACAACAAGTACCAATGCGTACAACCCCATTGCCACCGGATCTCGTGCCATGATTGACTGCTCCACAGTTGATAGAGTTACAGGAGTTGAAGGCAGAACAGGCAATAAATCAAGGTTGAACTGTGACAGCCTGTTAACCAATGGAAACATCAAGCATCCCAGAACAACATCCAACAGCCACTTCCCTTTGAGGCTAAATTTAAACCAATCTGATGGAAGTGGGCGAAATCTAGACAGACAACGATGAAGAATTAAAATTCCAGCAAGACCTTCAGTCACATCAGTCAAAAGGCTGAACAAAGCTTGCCCTCTATAAGTTAGTGATTCCTTGTTGAATCCCACCATATGCGCTCCAAACGGAATCATCCAAGAACCTACGAACCAGAATGAGACAACCCAGAGGAGTGTAACCTGAATCACCATAGCGGATCTTGATGAGAGATGATTTACTCTCGGTCACCAAAAGAAAATATCCCATTCACTATTGTCACTAGTAAAACTTGCATCAGAGCTTAATCATATTCGTCAAATATGTGTGTCATTAAAATGGAGACTGAACAGCAGTATTGAGGAAAGAAAATCAATTAACAAGTGGAAGTTGGAAATTTTATGTTCTTCAGAAGAATGTGATGCAAGGCTAGTTCAACCAAAGCTAAAAAGTGTACTTAATGATAAAGCCCAGAATTCAAGTTAAACTACATTTGGTCAACAAGGTTTCAGGGAATAAGGCAGGCTGAAACATGAACATGATGTGAGGACACAATATGAAGGAGTGAGCGAGAATTAAATATGGCAGTTAGAGAAATTGATGTACCACTGGTTTGATGTATGGTACAACTACTCTGCATGAGTAGGAAGGCTGCGACAACTTTCAGCCCTTTTTAGACCCTACAGTTTGGAAGTCTCACGAATGATATTCTTCCACTACACAAGTGGATAAAACATTCAATGGCATTTCGCCAGTAAAGGAGAGTTTGCAAGGTTCCATACATCGAAGATTATCTGCCTACTCCTTTTTGCAAAGTCAAAAGGCTTTGCAAGAAGCATATATCCCAAAAAGCAATGGCACACATACTTTCCAACTAGTCATATATATTAAAGTTCTCAAATCTGTCTTTAAATTATAATTTTTGAAGTAAAGATATTCTCCACATAAGAAATTTTTCTAAACTTTTTGCTCTCCAAGTGCGCCAGATTCCTGGGAAGTCTGCAAACACATAATTTGGGATCTCAAGAAGATGTAATATGCCATCACAATGAAAGCCTCACCTGTAGGATGGTCTCTGCTGTCCATGGTACAGTCCACGGTTTTCCAATCACTCTTAACACAGCATCTACCCACTGAAATAGTAAGGAGTTCATGAGAAAAGCATCAAAAAAATAATAGTATTTCCAAGATAAGCCAATCTGTTTAATTGAAATGTCACATCCAAGAAGATAAAAATAACTAAGAAAGTCTCTGTAGTTAGTAGTCAAGGGAAAACAAAAGGCATAAACTGTTTGCATTGCTATGCAACAGTATTACTACATAGAAATGAAACCTTGAAATCCAAAATCTTAAAAAGAAGTTGCAATCTGTAAAATTTTCTTTTCCTTAGTCTGCTCTGCCAACCAAGGAAGCATCCAAAACAATGTGCAGTCATCACCACGTAAACTACAGAATGACAATAAGAGTCAACTTATGCAGAAGACAAAGACGTGACAAAGTTAGAAGTTGCCTCTTGTAATCTTTAATAGGTGCTAGCCAAAGTTTTTTTTTTAAAAAAAAACATACACACACACACACAAAGCAGACAATTTCGGATTCTCAACATGATAAAGAACAGGTTGCTAATAGTGCTACTCTGTATATCATAGATAACAAGTTCACCTCAACCACCACTAATTATCAAAAAGAAGCACTAGTCTGCAATCCCATTATGAACGATTATTTAATGGCAAACTAAGGAGATACAGTAACGCAACTCAATACATCAAATGCACACAGTTCTACCTCATCTACCACTAAATACCAAAGCTAATAAGTATAGTGAAATCCAGTTAGCAAGGCAGTATTGCATAAAGGCAATAGTACCCATCCAATAGATTTCATAATGCCACTTGATATATCATTTGCACATAGGTTTACCTCATTGTATCACTAATTACCAAAATGGAATCCTATTGACAACATTATTGGGAAATAGAAATGGAGTTAGTATTACCTCTCCAAGACTTGATATCCAACTTCTTTTCCCAGTACTTGGCTTTTCAACTTCTGTTTTCCGCAAATCTTCATGTCGACTCTCCTCCCCAAGAGACTCTCGATTGATTCCCGCTGAAGAACATTCCTCATGCCTGAAGCACGATATTTTCCACTTCTGCAAGAATTTCCATATGCAACAAAATCCTAATCACGTAATACATATGCCAAGAATCCAAAACACGCGTATGCATAAACAGAAACGCACACAAAAATGTACAGTAATGCAAAGAACA